GCTGCTTCCAGAATATACAGTAACAAGAATTGGGTAGAGTCTAATTCATGATGGCATTTGCCAGAATTCATAACCTTTCTGGCCTTAACATTGTTTTTCTCATCTCATCCTGCTGTGGGTGTACAGAAATAAGGTATTTAGGAAAACAATACAAATAATGAATATTTTGCAAATATTTTGCCCTATGAATGCCCCCTTGTTATTAGGTTGTTATTGCACATTAGTGTAAACCAGGGGTGAAATCTATTTACCTGAAATCTACTGGTTCAGAAGTGCACGCCCTGCACACACATCACATGCAATTTTTGGACCCTCTGCACATGCGCAAAGCCGCCTGCGCATGTGCAGAGGGTAAAAAACAGGTTACTTCCTGGTTAAAACCAGGAAGTAACAACATCTGGGTGGGTGGGCAGAGCCTTGCGCTGCTGCCGCTACCGGTTCTCTGAACCACGCGCCACCGCCGCTACCGGTTTAGTTGAACCGGTCTGAACCGGTAGCATTTCACCTCTGCTGTCAACTCCTGGCAATTGCTTGGACTAGTCGCTGCAGTTTTTCTGGCAAGTTTTTTTTCCTAGTAGTGGTTTGCCCTGACTTGCTTTCTAAGGCAGAGGGAGAAGGACTGGCCCAAGGTCATCCAGTTGACTTCATGGCTAAAGTGGAACTGGAATTCGTGGTCCCTCAGAAGTTTTCCTCATGGGACCAATGGATAAACAGTGGGAAAAAGACGGGGAACTTTGTTTTTGTACATGAAAATAACATCAAATTGCTCAGAGTTATTAATTTAACATGGGTGGTCACATTAACCTGATTCAATAAAGTAGATTTCAAACATTGCTTCTTTCCTTGTTTTGGATGTTTCCGTCCAAAACATCTACTGCACCTTTGCTAATAGCCTTTATACTGTTATATCTTGTGCACGTATCTTCTTTGTTTTTTTCCTTTCTATGTCCAAAATATATACTGCACCTTTACTAATCATACTTAGAAGCCTTTAGACTGTTGTATCTTGTGCACTAGTTATGGTTTTTCTTGGCTCAAGGTGCCCTGCTTATAATCACTTATTCCTTGACCAAGACTTGTTTTGATTATTGCAGTTCTACATGGGGCTGCCTTTGAGAGGCTACAATTGATCCAACATGCAGTAACTTGAGTAGTTGTGGGCAGTAGTTCATTTACTCATATAGCACATCTATTTTGAGAAGTGCACTGATTACCTGTTGTTCCTAATGCAATTCATGGTGATGATTATAACCTTTAAAGCTCTTTATGGCTCAGGATCTTAGTATCTTCAGTGCCCCATCCAATAACATCGAAGAATGGGTGATTTTAGAGTTTGTTTATTCACACATTCATAAAATTTATTTGCCTTCCAATGACTCTGGGCTGCTTACAACATAGAAACATTGAAAAAACACTAAAAGCATACATTGTAAAAACACAACAGATAAAAAAAACATTAAATAGATCAAATCAGGGACACAAGAGGGCAAAGAGGGGAGCCAGACACATGGCTGTGTATAGATGACATTATGGAATATCATCTATAGGGACCTCAGGGCATGCCTTCTAGAATGCTGCCCCCTTTCTTTGAAATAATATTCCAGAGAGATCAGTGCCCTGTGTTTCTGTTGTTTGGTAAAAAGATATAGCAATTAGCCAGTGGGTAGGGTAGAAAGCTTCCTGCTTTTCCAATCCTAGCTTTTTTTTTTTTTTTTTTAGTTGATTATTATTACAGTTGTTATTTCAGTTTGTGTCATTTTGGCTTGACTACTGAAAGAGCTGTATGAGCTGCTCAGAATTATTTGCTAATTGGAATGGTATATAAGTTTAATAAACCTACTAAATAAAAAAGATACATTAATGGTTGGAAAAATGCAATACACGTACCTTTCAACAACACATGGTTAATGAGAACAACTGTGGGTGCATGCACATCTTTCAGTATTAGTTTTGGTTTTATGTTTGTCTAGGGAACCCAGCCCAATCAAGATTCCCTAGATATACTGGTGGTGTACTGGTGGTTAAAGATGAGTCTATTCTACGTAGACTATGTCATTTGTACAGATTAGCTGTGGGGAATATTAGGATCATAGTGAGGCTCTCTTGAGCAAAGGGAGCTCAAAACTTATTTGGCTACCTTATTCTAATCTAGAGAGTATGCTATTCATTTGGGAAGGAATAACAAAAAAACTGTGGCATCTTAATATCATGACTTATATAACAAAAAAATATCGAACTTATAGAACTTATAGCAGGTGACCCGCTCCCTGCTCCACCAGGAAGCGCGGGAGGACCCCTTGGAGGGAAGAGCCGAGGATTTTGTTCAGTATCTGCATGACAAAATCACTCAGATTCGGGTAGGTCTGGACTCTGACTGGGTAGATCCAGCGAGGGTGACGGAGGCAGGTCTTGAGACCGTTATCTGGGATGAGTTTGATCCTGTGACCCCAGATGACGTGGACAGGATTCTGGGCAGATTGAACGCGACCACATGCTTGTTGGACCCGTGTCCCTCCTGGTTAGTGCTGGCTTCCCGGGAGGTGATGCGAGGCTGGCTCCAGGGGATTATAAATGCTTCACTGGGTGAGGGTGTCTTCCCCGCTGCCCTGAAGGAGGCGGTGGTAAGGCCCCTCCTCAAGAAGCCTTCCCTGGACCCGGCAGTATTGGCTAATTATCATCCAGTCTCCAACCTTTGCTTCGTGGCGAAGGTTGTTGAGAGTGTGGTTGCGCGACAGCTTCCCCAGTACCTGGATGAAGTGTCGTATCTGGATCCGTTCCAGTCAGGTTTCAGGTCTGGGTACAGCACGGAAACGGCATTGGTCGTGTTGGTGGATGATCTCTGGAGGGCTCGGGACAGGGGTTGCTCCTCTGTCCTGGTCCTGTTAGATCTCTCAGCGGCTTTTGATACCATCGACCATGGTACCATGCTGCACCGGTTGGAAGGGTTGGGGGTGGGAGGCACCGTTTTACGGTGGTTCTCCTCCTTTCTCTCTGACCGGTCGCAGTCTGTGTTGACAGGGGGGCAGAGATTGACCCCAAGGCCCCTTATATGTGGGGTGCCGCAGGGATCGGTCCTCTTGCCCCTTTTGTTCAACATTTATGTAAAGCCGCTGGGCGAGATCATCCGTGGTTTCGGGGTGAAGTACCATCAGTACGCTGACGACACCCAGCTGTACATCTCCACCCCGGACCACCCCAACGATGCCCTTGAAGTGATGTCCCAGTGCCTGGAAGCCGTACGGATCTGGATGGGGAGAAACGGGCTCAGGCTCAACCCATCCAAGACTGAGTGGCTGTGGTTTCCGACGTCCCGATATAGTCACCTGGTGCCATCGCTGGCTATTGGGGGCGAATCATTGGCCCCCACGGAAAGGGCTTGTAACTTGGGCGTCCTCCTGGATTCACAGCTGTCTTTAGAAGAGCACTTGACGGCCATGACCGGGAGGATTTTTCATCAGGTTCGTCTGATTCGCCAGTTGCGTCCCTTTCTAGATCGGGACTCCCTACGCAGAGTCACTCATGCCCTCGTCCCCTCTTGTAACGCTCTCTACATGGGGCTCCCCTTGAGGTGCACTTGGAGGCTCCAACTGGCGCAGAGTGCGGCCGCGCAGGTGGTTATGGGAGCGGCGTGGAGTTCCCATGTAACACCTCTCCTGTGCGAGCTGCACTGGCTCCCGGTGGTCTTCCGGGTGCGCTTCAAGGTTCTGGTCACCACCTTTAAAGCACTCCTCCATGGCTTAGGACCTGGTTATTTACGGGACCGCCTGCTACCACCAATAGCCTTCCACCGACCAGTACGCTCCCACAGAGAGGGGCTCCTCCAGGTGTCGTCAGCCAAACAATGTAGGCTGTCGGCCCCTAGGGGGAGAGCCTTCTCTGTGGGGGCCCCTACGATCTGGAACGAGCTCCCCCCAGAGATACGGAGGATCCCGGATCTGCGCACCTTCCACCGCGAGCTTAAGACTCTTTTATTTCATCAAGCTGGCCTGGCCTAAATCTTCTCCCTTTTAAGTGCAAATTTTAAATTTTAGTGTGTTTTAAAATATGGGTATTTTAAATTAAGGGTATTTTAAATTCAGCCAAATTTATTTAATTCATTTTATTCGATTTTAAATTTTTTGTATGTATGTGTTTTATTTCGTGGCTGTTCACCGCCCTGAGTCCTTCGGGAGTAGGGCGGTATAGAAATTTAATAAATAATAAATAAATAAATAAATAAATAAATAAATAAATAAATAATAGGAAAAGGTCTGTCTAAGAAAGCATAAGAAAGGGAGAAGAGCGGTATATAAATTTGAAATAAAATAAAAAATAAAAATAAAATAAATTTTATTGGAGATGTAAAAAGGATAATGCTTTTTTAAAACACATGTTTTTACAATGTCCTATTTTGGGAAAATAATAGATTATAAAAATGTGAGTATGGAACAAATGTTAAAATTTCAGAAGATAATATTCTCTTGAATTACATTACCTATTACATAGAATTTGACATCTGAATAATGTAAATGGATACTCCTTGCCCTTGCTATGGCCAAGAGACTGATACTGTAGAATTGGAAAGATAAATATATGGTCCATTCACTGAATGAATACCTGATTACACTTGCCACCCATCAACAGATTGCCTCTAAATGTAGACTTTGTATGGACAAATATGAAATATGGAACTCATTTATACTGTAAGTTAAAGATGAATGATAAATATACAAATATGTTAGAAATAAATATATATGTACTTTAATGTTTAGATATTATTTTTGACTTTTAAAAGATTTTTAAAAAAAATGTATTTGTGTTATATTCCTTTTTCTGTTATTTTTAAAATCAATTAAAAAAAGATGGTTGAAATTCTTGCTTAGACCCCCATCCCTCTTCCTTTCAGCTGAAACACATTTTCAAAATTTGGTTTTGTTGTCATCGTTCTGCAATCTTTATTTTGGCGAACTGGAAATGAGACTGTGCGCGTATGTTTTGATTTTTAGTGAAAGCCGCTAAGTAAATTTTTTAAAAAAATTGTCCGTCCTACCGAGACCGTCCACGACGATTTGTACGTGGCTGGGGATGATGGATATTGCAGCCGGACACATCTGGAGGCCCCATGCTGGGGAAGGCATATCTGCAGAAGGCATTTCCCCCCCCCCCCTCAAGGCGGTGCGGGAGCGTTTCTGTGCCCGTGGAGAAGCAGCCAGACCCTTCCCCCGATTCCCCCGAGGTATTAACTCGCGTTGAAATCGCAGCGGGCGGAGGGAAGAGGAAATAGTTTTCATCGAAGATACCTGACTACGCCTCGCTAGCTTCTTTCGGCTGACTGGCACTCCGCCCGAAGCGACGGGCGATTTCAACGAAAGGAACGCAGCAGGAGCTTGAAGTTGCTAGGCGGAGTGCGCACCAATTTCGGATTTACCTGTCCGAGTCTCCCTTTGCAATCCTGCATCTCCTCGTCCAGTTTTCTTCTGCAAAACCATGGCCGACGACGAGGAAACCCCGTAAGTGGACGTTGCGACCAAGGCAGATTTGGAGGGGGGTAAACTCAGAAACTTGGATCAGCTTTCCGTTAGTGGAAAAAGCTGGGAGGGCAGCCGGCCCTTTTCAATCTGCTTCTTTGTATCTCTTGGGTTCAGTTCGCGCTGCCCGGACATTGAAGGCTGGGGGGAGGCTTCACTCTACTGTCGGGTTCGGGGCTGAGGGGGGTGGGCAGCGCTTTAAGGCCACTTGTGCAGCTGAAGCAAGAATCACCTCGTCCTCCCACGTCCTCCCCTCCCGGTCAAAGAATGAAGTTGGGGGTGGGGGGGGGAGAGAAAAGCGAGGGGAAAAATATAGTCGCCTCCCAAATCTCCAAAGGATGTGGAGTTGAGATCTGGCTAGCGCGCCATTACCAAATAAAAGCGGAAGGGAGGATATTCACTCCTGTTGCTTCTCTCCCTGTCCGTCTGTCTCTCTGTCTGCCTCTCTGCCTCCCTCTTTCCCCACCCCTTGCGTGTAATTGAAACAATTTAGGGGAGGGGGAGAGGCTTTTAACTCTTTCCTAGGTTTCTCCCTAATGGAGGGAACAGGTTTTTTTTCAGGAAAAATGGAGAAGGGCTGTCAGAAAGAGACTTGGAGTTTTCCCCCACTATCAAAATGCAGCACTCTCTAGTGTGATATTCAATGCGTTGCTGTTCTCTCTATTTGAAGTCAGGCCAGGTCTTTTGACTATCTTCCAGGAAAACCCTAGGGTTGGGCCTTGGCCCATGAATACGCTCTGGCATTCTTTTTCTGCTGGGCCTCTTGACTGCCTTAATCCCATTCTTAGCCCATCATGAGGCAGGTTTACATTTAGCTGTACCAGGGTAAAAACAGTGTTTCCCCCCTTAATCTGGCTCCAGATACAATCCAAGAGATCCTCAAGCTGTTTAAAAGTCTAAAACAGAAGATTTGCAAAAGACTAATTTTTAGAAGAAAGAGTTTGAAAAACAAGTTAATTTAAAGATAATAGGGTATGCATCTCGCCAAACTCATTGAAGACCAGGAAATTATGCTATGAAAGAACGTACAGGTAGTTCTGGAGTTACGACCACAATTCAGCTCAACATTTATATTCCTAAGTGAAACATTTGTTAAGTGAGTTTTACAACTTTTCTTGCAACAGCTGTTAAGTGAATCATTTCAGATGTTAAGTTAGCAACATGGTTTTTAAGTGAATCTGGCTTCCCCATTGACTTTGCTTGTCAGAAGGGTGCAAAAGCTGATCACATGACCCCAGGACACTGCAACACCGGTCATAAGTATGAACCAGTTGCCAATCATCTAAATTTTGATCATGTGGCCATGGGGATGCTGCAATCATCAGAAGTGTGAAATTCTAAAATGATGGCCTCAAATAGGGAAGGACCGACTAGTTCAAGCTGCAATGGAAATGGAGCCGATCACTTAGTTGATTTGATTGTGCAGTTGCTGCCATGGGCTGTGGAGTAAGGGTTTTATTATGGGTTTTATTATGCAGTAGATTTTTTAAAAAATGTTGTAAACCTCCCAAGGTTACCTATTGTGAGTTGGGCAGCTACGTACATTTTCTTAATAAAATAAAATACATATATTTCTCACACACACAGCTGTACACACATACATGGACAACTTCTCACACGTAACTGAATATATAGAAAACATCTTTGATGGAAGAAATGGCTCTTTTCTCCCTGAGAATCAGATTAAAAAGCCTTCAAGTATTATTAGCATGGCCAGTGAAAATGAACACTGTTATGTTGAAGAATAAATTTGTTTAGTTGATGTTCAGGTAGGACTGAGGAAGTTTGAGAGGCCAGGAAGCAAGTCATGAGCCATTCAGCTATATTGCCAAATTCTAAAGTATGTGTTTGAGTTTAATGCGTGAACCAAGCCCTGTTCGTTCCGTACTGAGAAGTAGCTTTGTGCCGCTTTTAGTCATAGTTCCCCTCCAATGCAAATTATTTCCTTTTGATTGCTCTGCCATTGAATCTTGCTGAAAGCTTCATTGTGCCACTTACATAATAAATGCCATTTCTGCACTTTGAAATAAGTATGTGAATACTCCAAATACTATACTGGAGTCCATAAAGTTGGTTAGGTAGATCAATCAGTCAACCAACCAACCAACAAACCAATCATTGATCTAACTATACATCTGACAGCAGTGACTCTGGGTGGTTTTCATTGTTAAAACAATCCAAGTCACAACTGTCAAGGTCAGAACAGTAATCCCAGTTTATAAAAACTAGCATTAAGCAGCAGAGTTCATTTCAGTTTCTGGCCCAAGTGCCTGGGGGAACAGCCTGGTTTTAAGGGTCTTACCAAAGTCTAACAGGAAAGTGCTGATTCACATATTTCCAGAGGGATGTTATTCCACAGGGCAGGCAGTGTTAAAGGAAATCATGATTCCACATAATGTTGAATCTGTTGCTTCTGGCCAAATTGCTTTGAAATACAATTATTTGCCAAATAATTACTTCTTAAGATCTTGGAAATAAAATATAAAATTTAATAATATAGTTACAGACATACAATATTTAGGTATTTTGCTTTATTTTTAGTTTATAGAGTTTTTTTCACTCCCTTCCTCTCCCCATAATCTGTTTTTTCCATTCTCTTTTTTCTTTTTCATGTTGCTTTCTACCTATTAAATATATGAGTTTCCTCCCATCTCTTTACCATATAGCTTTGTTTTTCTATAATGGGTCCTGTGATCACCATTTGTGACTTTTTCCGCTGGCTTCTGACAAACAAATTCTATGGGGAAAGCTGCATTCATTTAATAACCACGTGATTCACTTAACAACTGCAGTAATTCACTTAATAACCATGGCAAGGGTCATAAACTCAAACAACCACCTTAGTTAGCAACAGAAATTCCCAATTATGGTAATAAGTCAAGGACTACCTGTAGTTTCTCATCATCTCTAAATATAAGGGAATCCAGATATAACCATTTTCCTCTTTTAACCCTGAAACTGATCAAAGAAACCAACTTGGTAAATCTTCCCTGAATGCTTAAGAGTGTCACTTTTTAATCCCTTCAGAAAGAGCCCCAAGTTAGTCTTTTGTTCATTTTTGTAGCCATAGGTCTTTCAAAACTTTAACAGAAACTTTAATTTAAGTTTAAAACAACAGATTTAGTATATCCAATAAATATACTTTTGTCCTTTTGTTTATCCCTTCTGGAAAATCATTCAAGACCTTAGCAAAAATCTTTTGTATAGCTATTCATCCATTTCCTGAGAGGTGTGCACCACCTTTTGTCAGGGTTCCAAGGAACACCCCCAACGAAATAAAGCTCTGAGGCCTGAGGTTCCTCAAAGTTCCAATTTATTAGATATGTCATGTTGGCACATCTGGGAAAATCCGAGTCTGAAAGCTTGCAGGTTTTCCACACCCAGCTGACAGTTCACAGCCCTGCCCCATACCCACAAGTTCATCCCATTGTCCAATCAACTCTTCACACTCAACTGGATACAATCTTCAGGCAGTCTCCATCAGACGCAGGCAAAAGTCCTTGAATACGTAATGTTGTTATGACTAACTTTATACCGTTCCAACAACAACCCCCTCCCAACTTCCCCAGCTAAAATATGTGGCAGTTAAGAAGCAAAAAAGAAAATTGTCTTCCAAATCTGACACTTTTAGGGAATAAATCAATTCCATTTGTATGTCTATATTTTTCTCCATATACCACAGTTAAATCCCCAAATCTACAGTTAAATTCAAAGTAATTTCAAAATTATCAGCTGCAGCTTCTTTTTGATCTGTAACTTCATTACAACATATTTGGTCCATTTTATTGAGATTATCTGGTGGTTGTTTTTTTTACAACAGATTGGCCAAAAATATACAATTATGTATAGAAATCTGCTCCATTCTTTATCCTGTGGCTCCCTCTAGTGTACAGCCTTCAAGGTCCCTGTATCATAAAAATCCCAAAAAATATCTCATTTGTGAGATAATTATTTCTAATTACCGTAAATCAAAGCTATAAAGGAAGTCATCAACTTACAACAGTTCATTTAGTGACCGTTCAAAGTTACAATGGCACTGAAAAAAGTGATTTATGACCATTTTTCAAAGTTAAGACCGTTGCAACATTCCCATGGCCACATGATCACAATTCAGACTCTTGGCAACTGTCTCATATTTACGATGGTTGCAGTTGATGGTTGCAGTGTCTCAGGATCATGTGATCCCCTTTTGCAACCTTCTGACAAGCAAAGTCAATGAGGAAGCCAGATTCATTTAACAACCGTGTTAGTATCTTAACAAATGCAGTGATTCACTTAATGACTTTGACAAGAAAGGTCGTAAAATGGGGCAAAATTCGCTTAACTGTTTCATTTAGCAACAGAAATTTGTGGCTGTACTTCCTGTACTTGTACTTCCAAATCAATCTGGACCCTTAATCCATTGTAACTTTTGAAATCTATATTCTGAGTACCCTTTTCCTGTATAATCCTATATTTCATATATTTCAAAGGTGTTTCATAATCTAACTTGCATTGTTTTCCGCTAAGGGGGAAGAAACTTACTTGATGAATACTGGAAAATCTTGCTGATCTGAAGAGTCTTAAACTCTCCAACAATAATAAAAAAAGGAAATCCAAAAGTTGATTAAGAATCGAGGCTCAATCAAGGTTAATGTCCATAAAAGGCGGTGTTGCAGGATTGACCTTGGTGGAATCCTGATTCCTAGCCACTCAAAACATATACTGGCTACAGAATGGCAATTGCTACTGCCTGCTGCAGTTAGTCCTTGCTTAACAACCACAATTGAGCTCAGAATTTTGGTTGTAAGTTGTTGTAGTTGCTAACCGAGTTACAATGGTCATAAAGCAAGTCATTATAGTAATTAAGCAAACCGTATAGTCATTAGGCAGACCATATGATCCTTAAGTGAACCAGTGTATCCAATGAATGTTGCAAATCCAAAACACTGAAAATTATGGTTACATAACAACAAGGCACTGCAAATGGTTTAAATGTGGGCCAGTTGCCAAGCACCCAAAATGTGATCATGTAACCGTGGGCGGGCGTGTGTGTGTGTGTGTGTGTGACAGTCATAACTTGGAGGACAGGTCACAAGTCACTTTTTTGGAGCCCATCAAAATTTTGAGCTGTCATTAGGTGACCAGTTTATTTAGGCTGCCCATTTTGCTATATATCTACTTCATGTAAATAAAATAAAAATTAAAGTAAAGTAAAATGTAAATTAAAAACTGGGATCGCTTGTGTATGAATGGCAGTTTGTGTTTTAAAAATGAAACATACAGATAAAAATCTTGTATTTTTTTCATCATGTTTCTTTAACAGGAACACTTTCCAAGTAAATGATACTTGTAAAAGTTCAATTGAAGCGAGTGTTTTTCTACATTATTCACTGATTCCATCGGTAAGTAGACCAATAATCTGACAACCATTGACTACTACTTGGACTCTCCTGATTGATGAGTGCACCCTAAGACTCATTGGAGAAAGCCCATTTAGATGCATTTCCAAAGCTGGCAGCCTCTGGATGCATAATCCAGATGCAATTCCCAATATTCTTATCAAAAAAGATCTAGCTGCAGATGAGGAGACACAGACATTTTTTAATGAATGACTGTGTCTATTTATTTATTTGTATCCCACCTTTATTATTTTTACAAATAACTCAAGATGGCAAACATATCCAATCCTTCCCCCTCCTATTTTCCCCCGAATGACAACCCTGTAAGGTGGGTAGGACTGAGAAAAGGAGACTTGCCCTTTGTCACCCAGCTGGCTTTCATGGCTAAGGTAGGATTTAAACTCTTGGTCTTCTACTTTTTAGCCAGATGCCTTAACCACTAGACCAAACTGGCTCATATGTAAGTACTGGATTGAAGATGGCTGCCTTTGGGACAAGGCAAAGCTTGCATTTATCTGCGTGCTTCAGTGGCCCAAGAACAAGCTTACAAAGGAGCATATGGATGCTTGTGTTTACAAATGTGAAAAGCAGAGCTCTCCCATCCTACAGCAGATGCAGGGGAGAAATGATATTTGACTTATCAAAGCCCTTAATTTTCTATCTATCCAAGGCACTAGGCAACATAATACTTATTCTACTGGGTGGATCTGGGAGGAGATTTGCAGGATGAATGCTTGCTCAGAATTCTGACCTAGTTTTGATTTACATTGGCTGGTGAAACATGTATCGATCTCTGAATTGTTGGGTACCTTAATACCGTCTATACTGAAGATTTATTGATGCCTTCATTGTGGTTCATGATAGTTCTTCATAACATTAATCATGTTTTTTTTCTGCTTCTGCAGGTTGTCATCATTTTGATCCTGGCCTGTCTTGAAAAGAGAACAAAAAGATTCTGGTTTGATGACAAATATCCCATATGTCCAAGACGTTGTGGGTTACTGCTGTGAGTTGGACAATACTTGCTGGCCATTCCTGAGTAGCAGTCTGTGACGTACAAGTTTGGGGACTCGTAGCCTTTTGGAAGCAGAAACTGCAGTTGCCTAAGCTGTCCTTTAGGCCCTTGGCATAAAAAATAAAATGATTCAGTCAAATATCTCCTGCATATTTATATTTTGTGATGAAAAACAGTTTTAATCATTCCAAAGCAGGTAATTTATTTATTTAGCATATGGCATCCAAAGCAGGTAAAAGAAAAACACTTTCTAAGGCAATTGTGGCCTCTAGTTTTAGTCTGACTCATATCAACCCTAGCCAGATAAGAAACCATCACTGTAACTGTAATCTAGCACATCTGAAAGACCATAGTACACATTGTTCCACTCATCTACAGCACAAACAAGTGACAGAGATACTTTTTTCTGCAGTGTCCCTGGGTTGTTGCCTTTACTTACCACTTATTTTCTTGCAGGCATTTCATTACCAAACTAAGTAACATCTTCAGTACCACTAGCACTGATGATGTTACATAGTTTGGATAATGAAACGTTTGCAAGAAAACAACCAATCTCAGAGAGCACCAAGGACCCCTCATATCAACTCTGAGCTACAAATATTCTCCTTTATTGGGACCACTAGTATCATGCCAGTGTAATTCTTTGCTAGTTCAAGGTTGACTGGAAATTATTATACTTCTATAGTTTCGAAAGGGTCTCAATGTCTTTTTTTCATTATTTTACAGCCCAATGGACTCTGACGACTCAATTAGCAACCGATGGTCATTGGGATTTGCATATGGTGCTACTGCTAATAAAATCATGTTTCTATTTGAGAAAGAGTTCTTTCCAGAGGGACTTCCTGAATGGGCTAAAGGTAAAACTCATGATTAATAAGTGATAAGAGAGCAGTAGAGGAGCTCTGTGTCTTTGTATTCTCCCATTTTTCTGTTTAGCTATTTTTTGATCTAAGGTTATCTTGATTCCAGACAATTAGTTTACTCAGGAGTGCAGTGAGGGCTAGACTTTAGAGCCAAACATGATCTTCAAGAGAACAGGTTATGAAGGCAGTGGCAAATAGCTTCAGTGTCAGCATTAGAGATAATAAGAATAGGCAAGGCCTCCCCAGTATAAATACATAGCCATTTAAAACCCTCCTCCTTGTAACACCATGACATTAAATATGTTTCTAGGAGCATGCATTCTTATTTGGGATTGAAGATAAGACCCTAACATCTGCAACATGTCAAGCCATAGCTGTAAGCAAATAACTTATAATTGGAGTGGGTTAGAGGGTTCTTGATAGGGAAATGCCAACAAATAGTGGGAAGAGTACTTTACTTCTCCTTCTTAACTTTCCTTCTTTAAATTCTTTCTCCTATAACACAATGTTTCCTCTCTGCTGACTTTCAGTTTTAAAGCATAATAGGTGATAATGATAGTAAAAGTAGAAAAAGACTCTTGTCAATTAAATATGTTTCATGGTGACTATGATTATGTCCATAGATAGATTGATTATGTCCCCTCAAGTCATTTTTGACTCTCAAGTGGCTCTATACAGTATATCTATGTGCTTCTATATATCTATATACAGCTTCTCTATGATGATCTGTCCCTAACCTGGTCTTTCAGGTCTCCCAACTGTGCGCTCATCACCATTATGATGGAAGAGTCCACCCTCTTTGCTACTGGTTGTCCTCTTATTCTCCTACCTTTCCCAGCATTAGGGCCTTCTCTAAGAAGCTAGATCTTTGCATAATGTGTCTGAAGTAGGATAATTTGAGCCTGGTCATTTGCACCTTGAATGTGAACTCTACATTGATTTGTTTGCTGATCATTTTGTTGGCTTTCTTGTTTGTCTATGGTGTTCTCAGGAGTTCTCAAATAGTCCACATATATTAGAACACTATAAAAATTATCAAGAACATTTGCAGAAGGCACAGGAAGTAAGATATAATGTTAGTCTTCTCTGCCTATGCACTGGCACTTTCAGGTACATTTGGAGCTGAGAATTGCCCTCACACATAATGCTAATGTTTTTAACCATGATTTCCTGAAGAAGCCTATTGAGCTAGTTCACATATAATGTTAAGCTATGATTAATAAGTATCCTAGCTGGATTTATGCATCACATCAAGCCATAGCTAAACCATATTATGGTTTGGTGTATTATATGAATCTAAATGCTACTTGTCCATTGCATATGTCTGTGAGTCCCAACTCCTTGTGCAATAGGAGTTGTTCTAGGTAACTCTCATGTTACCAGATCACTATCAATAAAGTCTAGATCGGGTGTCTGCAACCCATGGCTCTGGAGCTGCATGTGGCTCTTTTGTCCCCCTGCTGTGGCTCCCTATCGGCTGAACCCATCACTGGCTGGCCCCACCCCTCACCCTCCCCTTCCAGTCACTCCTCGCCTGGCTTGAGAGAGATAAGAGATGAGAGAGAGAGAGAGAGAGAAAGTCAGAGACAGAGACAGAGAATGAGACACATAGAGAGAGATACTGGTTTCCCACAGAAAACACTGGGAGCCACAAAACCTGGGTAGGTGTGGCTGGGGGGTGTCATGTGACTGGGCAGGAGTGAGTGACATCGAGTTGGCCACGCCCACCCAGGTTTTGTGGCTCCCGGTGTTTTCTTTTCTGTGGGAAAGGCGTCCAAATGGCTCTTTGAATGTTTAAGGTTGCAGACCCCTGGTCTAGATGATCACTCTATAGGAAGCTGGTAATTAGGACACCCCACCCCCCCGGTCACAAAATAGTGTGCAAGTTTTCAAGTGTTACAGAGCTCTAATAGGGCAAGAAATTATTAGAGAGAAAGCAGAAATGAAAATTTGAGAAATATCTAAATATTCAAGAAATTGTTGAATGAACTCCATCAGAAATGGAATGGTGATGATTGCTCTAGAGATGTGCTCTTGTGGCTGGGATTGGTGAATGCCAAGTGAAGGTGATGGATATTAGCTACAGAAAGCCAAATGCAACAGGTCTCCTCCCCCAGAGAAGTTTACACAAGTCATCAACCTGTATAGCTAAGACCAGCCCAATTTATATCTCCAAAATTCATAAGAACCTTATCCTTAACTTAACACTCACCTCATACTGCTCATGATGAGATTTAAGAATATTCCTTAAGCAGCTAGACATTATCCTTCAGGTGCTGGAGGCTTGAAACTACAGTGTATGATTTTTATGTTATCAGTGTTACAAAAATATCCAGTTTTACCTCATAAGCCCATTAATAAAATTCTCAAAGTGCACTGAATATTTCTTTTATTTGAAATATTTATTTTCTGACAAAACATACATAAGTTTCTCTAAATGATGCAAAAATGATTTTGTAGTCTATAAAATTCAGCAAAGTTTAAAGAACTAATATATTGTCTTATTACTGTTGTTAACGCCATGTGCTTTGTTGTTCCATATTGGATGGTCAGTGACTGTTATAAAAAAGTTTCTCAATCATTCACTGCTGAACGATAAAATAAAGATATATTTATGTCTTTTCTTCTGCAGTATTTTGGATCCTCCTCATGGCTTTTGAAGTGGGCATCTCCTCATACCCTTTCTTTGTCTGTCTTTTAACAAAAAATGAAGTTGTAGGAGCAATTTTGGGGTTTCTTTACACAGCAGCTTGGTAAGCAGAATTTTAACAAGTCTCATGAATGAGAGTGAGTCTCAGACTGGGGATCAATTCTTGATATAACAGGGAAAATTACAATAAAGTGATTTCATACTAAAAATATTATCTAGAATTAGAGGTTCTAGGTTTTCTAATAGCCCAACCTACCATTTGCTCTTGAAGATAAGGAATCACTACTTATTATATCAATTTAAATTTGAGAAGCAAAGTTATCAGCACTTAATTTATTGCAATATGTACTTAACAAGAAAACATGAAAAGGGGAGCCAGTTTGGGGTGGGGAATAAAAGCACTGAGCTAGAAAAAGGGAACCCGTAAATTCTAGTCTTCCTGGACTAGACCATGGAGCCAGTTGGGTAATTTTGGGCAAGTGACTCTAGTTCAGTGCTACAGCATTATAGTAAATCACTTACGAAAATATTGCCAAGAAAACTGCATGGAATTGTCCACATAGTTACCAGGAGGGAGGGAGAGAGATGGTGTATGTGTGTGTTTTAGTATGGATGGAAGGAAGGAAGGAAGGAAGGAAGGAAGGAAGGAAGGAAGGAAGGAAGGAAGGAAGGAAGGAATAGATCCTCTAGATGTAATCAAGTGAATAGCTTGCTGCTACGGTACTTAGAAATCCTTCTATTAAACAGAATGAAGGCAATGGGGCATTGTGGGTGGTAAAACCAATAGCTGAGTGACTTCTTAAATACTTATAATTCATAAAATATATGGGCTAGTCCTATATAGTTAGGTCCTCCTTGGACATTCAAACTCATTTTCTTCCGGCTTGGCTTTGATATAGATCATATGGCAAAACTGGGGTGGGCTCTTTTCCTATTTATGCAACTCTTTATCTTACCCCGTGTCCTGCAGTCTGAATTTAGAACTCTGTAGTCAATTTCTCAATTTTTGAGTCTTTTGTTTGAATTTTCTTGCATATATATTATAAGCACTTTCCAATCTCTGGGTTCAAGCAAGTCTTTATTATTACTCTGTTTTTGATACACAAGCATATAGTCACACTTTCTACATCTACAACCATGGTTGCAGCTATTAGAAGACTTTACTGTAAAATTATGCTGCCATATCACCATCACTATATTCAAGTATGAACTTATATTCAGGAAGAATGACATCTTGGTAATCAAGACATTTAGTAGCTACCTGCCTAGTATCTCATTTGTCTTGCAAAATGGTCAGAGAAGTGCATGTAGCACAAACTGAAGCGTGTGTGTGTGTGTGAGAGAGAGACAGAGAGGGAGGGAAGGAGGGAGGGAGAGAGAGAAAGAAAGAGAAAGAGAAAATTTTGCATACTGCCAAAAGTTGTTAAGGCATGGAGTCATACACTCCTGACTTGAAAATGGTGTTGTGTGGAAGTGCCCCAAATCTATATTTATAGGTGCAAATCTGCATGGCATGAATTTATATGTTCTCCTATGTGTGAAACTTAGGTGGAGAAGTAAAGAAATACAGCAAATAGATACTGACAATAAGAAAATCAAGATAGTTTTAATGATCATATGCAAAGCATATGAATTATAACACAAATATTCAGATATTAGTAAATAATTTAGCAAATTAATGGAATGTATTAAGAAAAAAGTTTTCTGAGAACATGGGAAAATCAAAGCACTAAACTATTGTAGCTCTTTCAGCATCTCCCTATTTTCTACATTGCTGTAAAGTTAGCAAGATCTAATGGTGGTGGGGATTAGGAGATGAAAGTTACATTGGAAACATCAGCTAAGGAAGCCTTTAATGCAGGGTGAAATCCAGCAGGTTCTGACAGGTTCTGGAAAACCGTTAGCGGAAATTTTGAGTAGTTCAGAGAACCGACAAATGTCACCTCTGGCTGGCCCCAGAGTGGGGTGGGAATGGAGATTTTGCAATATCCTTCCCCCAGGAATGGAGAGGGAATTGGGATTTTGCAGTATCCTTCCCCTGGAGTGGGGTGGGAATGGAGATTTTGCAGTATCCTTCCCCTGCCATGCCCACCAAGCCACACCACACCTACCAAGCCATGCCCACAGAACCGGTAGTAAAAAAGTTTGAATTTCACCACTGCTTTACCATTGCCAATGAAGATCTGCATTCATGAAAGAATATCCTTTTCCAAACAGAACTTTCCAATTGTATTAGCTGTTAATTCCTGAAATTTTCCAGTCAGATTTCACCAGTAATATAGAAATCAAAGAAATAGTGTGAAAGTGATGAGTGATTCTGATGTTGGATCCGATTTGAATATAGTGCGTCAGAAATTTGGCTTAACAAGTCGTATAAATATGTATGTATGTATTCTATAGCTTCTACTGCCAATTTAGAAAACTAATTACTCCATGTATTTTACAGGGCAGTTATCACGATCTTAGACATTGTAGAGTGTCCTGCGGAAGATGTAAGTATATATTTTTGACAATTATTACTGTTTTAATATGGTGATTGCAGGTTCACTTAAGGTGTTCAGTGCATCAATCTAATGAAAGTTTAGCAGGTTACTGGTTTGCTGCTGGAAGAAAATCCCCTGAGCACCATGCACAAAAAAATGTGGTGTAAGCTAAGGTTAGGCCTATAGAAAATCTATTGTGCTTTCTGTGCATGAGGAGCAAGTGCTCAAGCAAAAAGTAAATGGATTCAGTATACTGAGGGAGGCAATAACACTGAAGAAGTCATAGAAAGTCATGAAATCTATCCCTACAGGTGAGTTTTTGACAGGACTCATCAAATGAATGGGATCATAAATTCTGACTGAATTCCTGATACCAAACAACCATTAGTCAAGTCCTCAGTGGCTAATATTGAAGAACTTCGGATCTACATGAGTTGGCTTACAACTTCCAACATCTACCAGTGGCATGTCTTCTCTTATGTTGGCTGAAAGAAATGGGAGTTTTTAATCTAACTATGGATCCCAGATTTGACAAAGCTGCTCCATACTCTTCCAGCATGTAAACCTGTTCTCCATAGCTGAGTTTACATAAAGACAGATCATTGGCCCACTTTGCTATTATCTATGCTGACTGGCAGGATATTTTTCATTAGATTATAAGATTAGAATAAAGTAGGCCTTTGTCACTGAATTGCATCCTAAAGACCCAAGATTTCTGGTATGAACCTCATGATAAGTTTCAGCATTTACAATTAATGTACTACATGAATTAAGTTGAATTTATATAGGGAAGGAAGAAGAGTGGATCATCTGCAACTTAGTTGGTAATTCTGCTTTCCATGCATAGGCTGTGGGAAAGTACAGTGGCATAATTCTGATGTGGCCATCCGTGCTGTTCCTGTTCCTTCTGCTAGGACGCTTTCTTTTTAATTTTGTGAAAGCAGTGAGAAATTCATCTGTATACAACCAAAATGTGAGTATTTATAGCAGCACTGAAATCCTCTCTTTTAATAACTTCATTTAGATTATTTGATTGTACTCCAATGAGATGAAAGTTCTTTAAATGCAATTGAATAGCAAAGACAAACCTAGAAAAAGAATTGCAAAATCAACTGAATATTAAATCAGACTTACTGATTTAAGAAATAAGAACATGTCTGGCAATCATATCCCTTTCTTACTCACTATTTTGGCCATTTAAAAGCAGTTAAAAATTGTTGCTTCTACAAGACTTTGAAAATTGAGATCATACTACACTAGCCACATGTTTGGCTATCTGTTAGTTTCATTGTTTTTAATTAATATTATTATGGTTTTCTGGCTTTATTTCGGTTTATTAACTGTCTAGAGAAGTAGCGTTGTGGTTAATTACCAGTTATGATTAAACTAATTAAAGGTAAAATAACTAAAATTTCTCCTGCCTAAAATCAGTATTTTAAGGATAAAAATGGTCAAATTTGGTCAAAAACGTCCACATTTTTGGAAGATTTAATAGCTGACTTCCATAATCAGATATATATAACTTTGCAGTGACACCCAATAAAATTCTGATAGAAACCATCATCTGCGAAGTTGAAACCAGCTTAAAGAATCTCAGTGCTGATGATGCTGATAAAGTCAGACATGATGTCACCAACATTCTATGCACTAGTAAACCATCTAAAAGCAACTTATCAAAAGAACAAAAAGCACTGCAAGTTTTAAAAAACAATAATAGCATAATGATATTACCAGCAGATAAAGGCAACGCAACAGTAGTAATGAACACAGTGGACTATGAAAAGAAACTGTCTGATTTACTTCAAGACGCCACATATAAACCCATAAACACAGACCCAACAACATATCTAGAAAAAACCACGAGGATAAAGATAAAATCAAGTACTATAAGTAAAGAAATCCAACAAACAATTATTCCCAGAGAAAAATAATCAAAATGTCCAAAACTGTATGGCCTCCCAAAAATACACAAAGCTGGAATACCTCTTAGACCCATAGTAAGTTCCATAGGCTCACCGTTACAAAATCTAGCCAAATATCTAGCAAAACATCTACAACCTTATGCAGAATCTGCTGCTTCATATGTACAGAACTCATACCATTTCATACAAATAATAAAAAAGCAACACATAAAAGAAAATGACCTTTTTGTAAGCTTTGATGTTGTATCACTATTCACACAAATACCTGTCAAAGAAGCCCTGTCATCAATTAAAAACAAATATCAACTACCGAAACATATTGCAGATTTAACAGAACATTGTTTATCCAACACATATTTCATACACAGAGGATAGAGATATAAACAAATAGAAGGCGCACCAATGGGATCACCATTATCACCGGTCATTGCTAATTTTTTCATGGAAGAATTCGAATCCAATGCTTTAGAAAAAACTGTTAACAAATCAAAATTATGGCTCAGATATGTTGATGACACTTTTGTGATCTGGCCGCATGGAAGAGATAAACTGGAAAACTTCTTAGTATATTTGAACAGCCTCCATCCGAAAATAAAGTTCACCATGGAGATAGAATCAGAAAACTAGTTGTATTAACTCGATGTATTAATTTATAAAAAATCTGATGGCACCTTAGGACATACCATCTATCAAAAGAAGACACATACGAATCTCTATCTCAATGCCAAATCACACCACCATCCAGCACAAATAAACTCTGTTGCCAAAACATTAACCACAAGAACTAAACGTCTGGCTGATGAAGCACATTTACAAACAGAATTATATACACTAACTAATGTACTGACATCAAATGGGTTCTGTAGAAATAAAATCATCAGTATGATCCAGCATGCAACACCTAGACAGAAAAAACAACAACAAGAGGAACAAAACAATGGGAAAGCCATCTTGCCCTATATAAAAGGAACAACAGTTAAAATTAGCAAAGTACTGCATAGACACAACATCAAAACCATATTTTGCACAGATAGAAAAATATTGTCCATTCTGAGAAACCCTAAAGACAAAATAGAATTAGAAGATCAAGGTATATACGAAATCTCGTGTGCTTCCTGCCCATCAGCGTATATTGGACAGACCAACAGAAGAATGAGTGTGTGCATCGAGGAACACAAAAACTCAATACAAAAGCAAGAACACACATCATCATTAGTTCATCACATAAATACAACAGGACATAATATTAATTTTAATAACACAAAAACAATTGCAAAAATAGAACATCTCAATGGCAGAATAATCAGAGAGGCCATTGAAACAGAGAAAAGACAATATTGCATGAATAAACGTGATGACACTTCCCATCTGCCTACTATTTGGAAACCTGCTCTCATAGATAGACGACTCTTAACACAAAATATAAAACATAGATCAAGGGTTAATCAAAAGGCCTGTATTGCCACAAGTTCCAGCCAAATCACATTCCAGCCAGCCACAAAGATGAAGCCCTGCCACCTGGTGGAGAAAAACCGACCATACACCCGAAGCCAAGCCAATAAACACAGACTGGGACACCCAACCAATCAGAATGAAAAGGTGGAGCCATCCCAGACTACCAGCACCAGATTTGAACTATAATGGCAGTTACTACAAAAGACCCCTCACATAAGCCTGATGATGGCAGATGAGATTCTGTCGAAACGTCGCTTCTACCCTTTTAGGGATATGTTAACAATTACATGGGAAGAAACCCGAAATATTAACTGTATACACACAGACACACACACACACACATGTATAATTTGATTTATATGCCGCCCTTCTCCGGAGATTCAGGGCGGCTTACAATGCGTTAAGCAATAGCCTTCATACTTTTGTATATTTATACAAAGTCAGTTTATTGCCCCCACAAACTGGGTCCTCAGTTTACCTACCTTAGAAAGGATGAAAGGCTGAGTCAACCTTGAGCCTGGGGAGATTTGAACTTACAGTAATTGCGGACAGCTGGTGTTAATCACAATGCTATTAGTCTGCTGAGTCACCAGACCCGTTCTATCATCATGTCTTCCAAGATTAACCATATTCCCCAATTCTTGACAGTTTTCCCAGCCTTCTAGATCAGTGTTTCTCATGCTGACTGGGAAATTCTGGGAGTTGAAGTTCACATATTTTAATGTTGCCAAGCTTGGGAAACACTGCTGCAGATAATATAACCTACCCTAAGGAAAATTGGTGAGTCTATCTTGATTATATCTCTTAGATGGTTTTAAGATTTGCAAAACCAATAAACCATTGTTTATTAAAGAAGGTGAATCATAAAAATGACCCTGAAATTAATAAGCCCTTTTATATATCAAACAGCCAATTTGGTCTAGTGATTAAAGCCCCGGCTAGAAACTAAGAGATTGTGAGTTCATGATCTGATTTAGGCATTAAAGCTGGCTAAGTGTCTCTGAGCCAGTCACTTTCTCTCAGCCCAACCCTGCTCACAATGTTGTTGTAGGGTAAATAGGATGAGGAAGGAGTATTAGGCATGCTCACCATCTTGAGTTTTTATAAAAATAACAAAGGCAGGATATAAATAAATAAATAATCTTTTTCAATATTATAAGCTATTAATAAGTAATCATTTAGCAGGTAAGGATCAACATTAATTTCAGTGGAATAGTTGGAGCTCAAATGTTTGGGACACTGGGCAGGTTAGCAAGCCCACATTCAAGGCTCAAGTGCTGCTGTGGGCAGGATTGAGCTGTTGTCCTTAACTCCAGCTCCTGCTGGGGTCATGAAAAGAGTCCTGAACTGGGCGTTCCCAGGGCAATGGTGATGTTACTGGCTAATCCTTTCAATCTGGAAGTGCCTTTTGCATATGAGTGCAAAAGTTGAATAGTTTTGAAGAAAATATTGAAGTGTTTGTGGTTAAGTTTCAAAAGAATGTGTTTCAGTAGCAAGTAGGTGCAAAGTTTTGCCATTGTGTGGTTGAAATATAAAACAATCTCAATCTTATAATCAATCATTACATTAATTTCTCTAAACAATAATAGCTCTATGCTTTTCTATCTTATGCTTACATCACAAACATCATTGGAGGTATGCAAATGGTAGGAATAAGGAAATTTCTAGAATAATCAAGGGAATAATGGTTGTGTTAACCTATTTATATAGTTATATTTTGAGGGATGTGGTGGCTCAGTGGCTAAGATGCTGAGCTTGTCGATCGGAAGGTCGGCAGTTCTCGGTTCGAATCCCTAGTGCCGCATAACGGGGTGAGCTCCTGTTATTTGTCCCAGCTTCTGCCAACCTAGAAGTTTGAAAACACACAAAAAATGCAAGTAGAAAAATAGGGATCACCTTTGGTGGAAAGGTAAGAGTGTTCCATGCACCTTTGGCATTTAGTCATGCTGGCCACATGACCACGGAGATGTCTTCGGACAGCGCTGGCTCTTCGGCTTTGAAACGGAGATAAGCACCGCCCCCTAGAGTCGGGAATGACTAGCACATATGTGAGAGGGAAACCTTTACCTTTACCTATAGTTATATTTTATAACAAGCATGTGCCAGGAAATTCTATAATAGGCTTGTTGTTAACTTGTTCTATATCAAACATGGAAAATAAGAAGTCCGGGCAGTTAAGTGAATATATAAGCTTATTGCAAGCTTAAGCTCTCTACAAGAATCTGAACTACTAACAAACCGAATTGGTGGTAGATAAGTGTGCTATCCCGCTCTCTCACATGCACACATGTAACTGTGGTTTAGAGGGTTTATTAATATTCCCTCACAACTCCTTTTACCAAAAACCCAGAACTGTTCAAATTAAGTCCAGCCACAAGGAGACCAATGCTAGTCCACAGAACAATGCCAATTAGTCCATAAGGCACTTGAAAGTTTCCCAATCAAAATAAACCCAACACGCAAAATTAAATCCACAATACAAGAGGGTTCATGAGGCAAGAAAAGTCCAGAGTTCACAAGGCACGATCCAAGTCAAGGCACGGTATCAATTCAAAGCAAGGCAAGAATCACAACGACCAGAAAACACACAACTAGGAAATGAACATGTTGTTCTCAGCATGACTTTCCTCTCTCTGCTGTGCTGAATAGCCATCTTCTGGTGCAGCCTATCAAGAAGGGCGAGGCTTTCTCCGGTTGGCACCGCGGGGATACAGACGGGGAATTAGTGGGCTTATCGGAGCCCCGCGAAAACCCCATCTGTTAAGCCCTCGCCGGTAGGTCTTTGGACCTACCCTGTCCTGTAGGGACAGGGTGATAGAGAGGGACCCTCGGATGGCCGAGAGGAACAGGCAGCGCCAGCGGCGGTTTAACAGCAGCCATGGCAGCTGCCCTGAGACAGCGGCAACCGGGATACAAGAATGCGCAGGAGGAGAGGTGGAGAAGTGGAGAGCGGAACTGGGAGTTTGTATGCCGGGTGAGTGGACATCAACCCAGGAAGGAACTGCCCACAAATGCTGAATTACAATTAGTTTGCCCCAGCCTTAACAGCAGCTGAGAACTATTGGGGCACAAAGACAAAAGACCTGTTGGTGGAAAACATAAATTACTGACTTTTTGGAAATGTTTGACTACAGATCTGGATATATTTTTTCTTTACTTTTTGGTGGATAAAGGAGATTGGACTATGTTTGGGAGAGAGGAAGGAGAAGAGGAAATAATTATGCCTTCAAAAGCAAAGGGAAAAGACAAACGGAGACGGATAAAATGGTTGCCAGCTGAAAAGGGAAAGTCTAAATTCCAGGCTGCTTGCTACTTGAAAAGAGAAACTTGTTATTTAAACTTGACTATTTTGAGAAAAAGACTCAGAGAACTTGATTTAGGATACATAATCTGTTCACTGGAGGATCTATTGAAGATTAGAAAGAAGAAATTGAATGGAACAATGAAAACTGAACTAATAAACGTGGCAATAAAAGAAGGGTGTGGCAATAGAAGGACATGATAATACCATATATGGAATAGCTTGAGAATCAACTTTGTAGAACTTATAACTTTGATGACATTGAAATGGAAAAGATACATACTTGGAAGACTGGAGAAAGGAATAATGGAATATATTAAGTAACAAGACAACAAAATAGTATATTTTGATTTAAATGAATGTAACGGTTTCTGGGTGGTTGAATAATCCTAGGAGATACTTTTTTTCTCTCTCTTTCTTTTTCTTCTCTATGTTCTCTCTCAATTTCTTTCTTGTAGTATCCTTCTCTTCGTTTCTTTTCCCCTCTTTATTTTCTTTTTAATTCTTTTTACTTCTTTTGTTATATTTCTATTCTCTTCCTTTTTCCTTTTTTCTCTTTTTTAGTGTTGCCTTATTTTTTTTGTATTTCTTTTATTGTAATTATTATTATTATTGCTATTACTCTCTCCTTTTCTTTCTATTATTATTTTCATATAAATATATAAACAATTTGATTAAGAAATAAGAGCATAAATGATTGAAGAAAAACATGATTTTTGGATGTTCTAATGCCTTTTTAAATTTGGAATTTTTAACTAGCACTACTTACAGATTTAATAATCTGGAAGAAAATATTTACTTTTAAAGGTGTTGGATGTTAAAAAGAATTATTTATAGAATTAAGAACCATAAAAAATTGATTTTAAAGTGTTTCAAAATGTTTTCTATTGAAAATAAGAAATAAGCATAGAATGGGAGAACATTTAAGAGAGAATAGGAGATAAGATATTGAAATATACTTTTATCTTAAATTGGTAAGAGATATGGAGGAGAATAGATTGGAAAACAATATTGGTAACATATTCCGAAACAATTTGGAGTTAAACAACTGAATAAGAGATAAATGTTATGAATTAGTTAAATAAATGAATTTAGGAGTGGAGGAAAGCATGACTCTGGAGATCAGTGAAAGCAAAGCTGTGACCCAGTTTTACAAATAAGGTAGGAGTAGAGGAAAGCATCATACTGGAGAACAGTTAAAGTAAACTTGGAACCAGTTAATAATAATAAAAAAAAGAGTTAGGAATGGAGGAAAGCATGGGCTGGTCAACAGTTAAAGCAAAACTGTGAGCTAGCCAAAAATAAAAAGGTAGGAGTGGAGGAGACTATACTTGGGGATCAAGTGAAATAAAATTGTGAACCAGTTAAAATAGGGGTAGGAGTGGAGGAAAGCATTGCTGGAAGGCAACTACTTGAGTTGTGAACCAGTTTTATAATAGATTTAGGAGGAGTTAAGGAGAAGGTTGGTGTGCAGTTAAAATTATACTGTGAACCAGCTAAAATAATTAAGATAAGGAGTGGAGGAAAGCATTGCTGGAAAGCAGCTGATTAAGATGTGAACCAGCTAAAAAATAAATTTAGGAGGAAGTGGAAGAGATTTTACCGGAGAATAGTAGTTAAACTGTGAACCAGTTTACATAAATACAGATAAAAGTATTGGAAAATACAGCTGGGAAATAGATATTTAAGCTATGAACCAGTTAAAAATTAGATTTAATAAAATATGAGAATAAACTTGAAATAAATAAAATAAAGTATTGTGGAAGTAACAAACTATAGAAGGAAATGTTGATTATTTATGAAATGACTTTAAGAGAGGAGGAAAATACTTTTTGTCAAGATTATGGATATTAGATGTCATTTAAGAGAAGTAAAATATAGATTTGAGGTAATGAGTCTTAGGATTGAGGAATATATATGAAATATTGATTGTTAAAATGATAAAGATTTAGAACAGTGTTTATTGTTTAGAATTTTGGGTGTAATATTAGAATGATAAATGTTTAGAATAAGATTTTTTTCTTTTTTCTTTCTTTTTTTTTTTTTAAAGATGTAAATGGATAAAATTTGGAACAAAATTGATTGAGGGAATGTGAATAATTGTACTCATTTTATGCCGGACCAAACCCTTGCTCTAAAACGATGTATTTTATGTTTTATGTTTAAAAAAATAAAAAAAAATTGGGGAAAAAAAAAAAAGAAGGGCGAGGCTTTCTCATCACAAGTAATCTGGCTGACCTTCTCCGCTCCTGCCTTTTCTCTGCCCTATGTGTTCTTGGATGAGGTGCAGTAGGCAGTTCCTCTTCCTCATCACTGACTGGTTCCAGCTGCATGCTTTCTCCACTGGAAGCCTCTGGGCTGTCCTGCTGAAGCTGTGTCTGTGCCAAATCCTTCTCAGATGGCTGCTTGGAGCCATTAACCAACTCCCTTCTGGACATGCCTGGAACTGCTGACATCTGGAGAGCTAATTGGGGAAGCGTCCGGGGAAGTCATACAATAAGAATCAATGGAGTTCAGGGTGTGATAGACTTAGATCTCTCGTGGGCACGAAGGGACTTGAGACCAATTATGCATTTGACCCTTCTTCCCTTGGGTGCATTCTGGTCATCTCCTACAATCAGTGCACATTTTGCACTCAACAGTGTTGCCTGCTCAGCTAATGTTAATAATCTCTTCCTGTGAAATTAATCCTTTTCTTTTGGGAGACTTTCATCTAATTCCTCAGGCAGCAAAGATTGATTAATTCCAGCTACTCTGAAATTGTTCCAGGTTATAACACTGATCTTAATGTTGAGGCTCTATGATGAGAAAAACTATCTGGAGGCACATCAGACTGAATTTTTGAGGATTCGTCTTGCTGCACCCTGAAGTACTGCCAATGCCCTTCTTAGATTAGAAATTGGGATGCCCAAAATTGAAGTTAGGTTAATGTTAGATTACTGGTTAAAACTCCAGTTCTTCTCCCTGAGCTTACTCCCATTAATAATGGCTGATGACTGCCACCTAAGCTGGAATAATCTCATCAAATAAACACTGAGAACAATAAGGTTACTGTCAGAGAACATTAGATTGTTGAGATACCAACATGCCAAACATACACTCCCATAGAAACTACAAGTAGTCCTCACTTACTGACAGTAATTGGGACTGTATATTTGCCATTTGTGACCTGCTAGCATCCCCATGGGCTTTGCTTTTGAAAGCCAACAGCGAAGGTCACAAATGCAATTACGTGACCACAGGATGTTGCAGTGCATCTTGAGAGCAAGTTGCCAAGCACCTGAATCATGATCACATGACTGTGAGGATGCTGTGATGGCCACAAGTTTGACGGCCAATTGTCTCATTTGTTCAGTGCTGTCATAATTCTGAACAGTTGCTAAATAAGTAGTTGCAAAGCAAAGACTACTCGTAAATGATATCGAAATTCAGATTGAAGTAAATAGTTTAGAGAAATAGGGCAAATGGTTCCTGGGGAATGACCAATTAGCTGCTGACATTTCCCAAACTAAGGAAAGCTTTCTTCTGGACTACAGTATGTATAATAACCTCTCTTTGGCATTACTGCAACGAAGGTACTTTAAGACTCCCCTGGAAAAACATGTCTCCTCTTGTACAATTGGAGACATTGTAGTAAGGCCAGCATGTGTATTTTATTATACTATAGTATTTGCAAGGATATCCAAAATGTTCACCTTCTGTTTTCTTTCAACAATGCCCTAAACAGATGGGCATAACGCAGATGGTAGCAAATACTGTGAAGCAGCAGAAAAGATGAGACACCAGTTATTGCAAGGCCTCACACAGTTATAATCCAGTATTATCCATTCCAATGTTTTTATTAGATGATATTATCACATCCAGAAGCCTGTGGGTTCTTAAAAAATCTCCATTCATTCAGTCCTTGATTTCCATTGCTGCCATCTTGGCTTTTGTTTTAAGGTCTACTTCCATGACACTTTCCTAAGGTCTCAGTTAAAAGCATAAGAAGTGTGTTAAGTCACTTGATGTGCTCTGAATATATCAATTCAACCAGGCACATTGCATTATTTGCAGTGGTGTAACCATGCTCTTTGTCTATTATATGCAGAAGCAGAAATAAACTTAGGTTAATATTATGTGTCCAATTTGGTTTTTTTAGTCCCTAAAAATAAACACAGACATATATGCACATATACTAGATTTGTAATTCCTGGTTTGTAAAAACATTTTATTTACAATACAGGAGAAAAATTCTTTTACGGAAGAACACCAGTTGCAGTATGTTCAGCAGTTGCTGAGAAAGCCTGTGCTTGGGTGAGGAGGCATTTTTTCTTTGATGTATTCTGATAATTCTTTTTTCTTTTTTTTCAGTGTCAGGTACTAGGCTAATACTAATATGAGCAAAATCCTAATATGAGCTCACATTCCATAAAATGATAAGATTAGCTGAAAAGCATCTGGAATCTCATGAATCCCTAGTGGTTAACCATGACTTAAGGTTTGACTGAGTATAGCCATCAGATGCATATATGACTGTGAGATTATGGACTATACTACTGAAAAGTTTACCCTAGAATAAACATGTTAACCTTTGAGCCCTTGGGATCCTCAGTAAAACACATAGTATCTTGCTGACAAAGTGACATGTCTTGATGCTTTGATTCTTGGTGACATTCTGATGAAGAGAGAAATATTTTGACAACGCTTTTTATAGGTAGTCCTCAATTAATGACAGTAATTGGGACTGAAATCATCATCACTGAGTCATATGGTTGTAAAGCATGAAATCATGTGATTACATTGCTTAGCAACAACAATCTAGCATTCCCCATTGCCAGCATTAAATGAGGTTATTAAGTGAGTCCAAAATGGACCAAAATTAGACCAGCAACAAGTAAGTGGGGTGGCTTTTGTTGGTGAATATGTAGGAGTGGCCTGTGAAGGGGAGGATGTGAGTTACTTACCAGATCAACCTGCAATCTTCCCTACCAGCTTCCTCATTGACTTTGCTTGTGGGAAGCTGGGAGGGAAGTTCACAAATGGAGATAACTGTGCAAAAGTAGTTTGGAGGTGGGGGGAGAAAGAGCATTGATCTCCCATATCCTGTCATCGTTTTTGTTATCATTCATATATTCTTATAATCTACAATTCAGCCACATAGAGGGATAAAGGCCCTCACAATAAGGATTCTGTTCATAGAAGTAAACAAAGTAATAATGAGAGTTTCAAATTCAGAGAAAGAAAGGAAATGGGCTTTCTTCTATCACATGTAAAGCAGCTTTGGAGAATGACCTGATTATTTTTTGTTACCTAACACCCCTATATTTTTATCTACCAACAGGAATCCTCAGAAAAACTGGTTTCAGAGAAAGTTATATCAATGGGACCCCTACTTTAAATTCCCCAGCAGAATTATCAGCACAATTATCGTTATGTTCCTATGTCTTTACATGGTAAGGCAAGGCAGTGCATGATGCTTTCAGCAAGGAAGTCACTGCTGCTTTTGGTCCAATCAAATCATCTTTGAACTGAAAGGATTCTGGGGATCAGTGGTTATCTGTAGTCCAAAGAACAGGCATTGATCATTGAAGCTAAGTGTAGTGCATGCTATATTTTGCATGGTGAGCAAAATTCTAATATTTAAATTATTCCAAGTAGTCGATAATATAGGCATATGAGAATACTATACTATTGTTCTGTCCCCATCGCACGCACACACACAAACAGATAGCCAGGAGTTAATGACTCAAACAGTCAGGAATTCCTTTAAGATAACAATCTTGGCAGCGAACCATGAACTGCCTGCCAAGAGATTTTACTCACTAAGGGAGGTTTTTTCTCCTCAGTCCGATATACCAAATTAATTCCACAAAGCAAAGAATTGTGAATATCCAGTCTGAAGAAGTCCAAAAAGAGATTCTAACAGGGTTCTAGAAACACGATATGACTTCCGAGCTTTTCAATTTGTCCGTCACAAGGCCTGAATAGCCGACACACCCCCTTTTATCCCTTGTGGGGTGTGGTCCAGTGACTCAGCTCAATCTCTGGCCTGCCCATGCCTCTTTCTCTGCTGCGTGCGCTTATCCTTCCGACGCTGTCTGGGATCCAGCCCCCTCTCTCTCTATCTGCGGCTGCTCCAAAGTGCCTTGCTCCTGGCATATCTCTTGGCCTTCGGAGGAAACCTGAGGCATTGCCAGAGAGGAGGGTCCTGGAGAGGGAGGCCTTGCCAAATCCTCTCCCTCACCTTCTGAGTCCTCTTCCTCTGTTAGGACAGGCTCGGGGGTCGGAGTCACAACAACTATAGTCTCTCCTCTTGTTCTTTCCAAGTGAAGCTACTGTATATGTTATTCATATGAATTGTATCTATTTTGACTCAAGGGCTTAACTGATTCTGGGAGAATACAATGAGACCTGCACCAACAGCTGATGGGGCCAGAGTCTTAGGGGACAGGGCCCTCAACACCTTCATGTGCTCTTCGAAACATGTATTTGAGACACACTCACATGCAATTTAATTCCCTCTCGCCAATTAGGCTTTAAAATAGCTTGTATATATGTGAATATTTTTAAAGGCAAGAGAATGAATTCCTGGAAATAGAAGAATGTTATTTATTAAAGGAAAATCAATTATAAATTAGTTTCTAGATAAATTCTCACATAGCTTTAATCTAGGATTGTAGTAGTCATGTGCAATGCTATTTGTCACAGATTTAAGTTCATCCATCAAGCCAGACATCATTTGTTTTAAATGTGCTTTGCTGAATAACCATAGTTCTTGTATTGATAATCACAGTTGGTTGGCTTTATGTAACCGTTAAGACAAAAAATATATTGTATCTTAATGTTATATCTTGTATTAATATAAGCTATGTGAACACAACAAAGCCAAATTATTTACTGTACTTGAAGTAGCACAGAAACAATTCCTATATAAAGATTCTGCCTGCCTACAGCCAGGATATTCTGAGGAGATGCAGTAATTATGATCCTCAATTAGCTCGTGTTGCCACATCTTTTCCTGTCCTTGGTCAGGTTATATGGTAGAAATAAGGCAAAGGGAAAAATCCCTCTGCTAATTGTGGACCAGAAGGGCAGAATGACAGTACCTAGAGAGACATAGGTCTCATGACATGTACAAGAAAAATTAGCACCAAAAATATCTTTGTAAACTAGTGTTTACAAATCCTTATTTATAAAAATAAGCATTAGAGTTGAAGAAAGGATTAGGCTTCAAGAAGGGAAGTATGAACAAAGGAACATTTTCTCTTAATCAGCAAAAGAAATTCCATCTAAAATGATGATTGGTGAACCCAGAGAAGAAGTTAACTTTGCATGAATTGCCCTGAGCAAATACAAAATAAAATCAAGACTGATGACACTATATCAACTCATTACTTTTAGAAGTCTGCAAGGTTGGATCCCTTCCTGTGATCGCGGAAATACGGGGTGGAGGATCTATATTACAATATATTAGATTTTATATAATATTAGATCTATTTCTTTCTTTGCCCATAATGAATCTGTGCTTCTGGGAGGAATATATATCTATATCTATATCTATACCTATACCTATATCTATATCTCTACAGTATATCTATATTTAATCTATATATCAAATCTCCAGCAAATTCCTACCTTGCTATTTAACCTTAAACTGTTGAGGGATTTAGCAAACAGATCTCCCCCAATTTAAATTACTGTAGATGTGAAGGTCTACAGGTCATTTGTGAATGCATTCTGACCTAATGGGAGTCCCTACAGGTATCTATTATTATCTTATATTGTCCTATAATTTTCACTTCAGACTTTTTAATCCATCAATATCTTTTCATTTCTCTTCCAGTTTGTTATGACAGAATATATTGTTGTCAATTTAATTTTGAAGTTGCTCAAAGCATTTCTTCAGGACTTAAGAACAAATATTCCGGCTTCGGAAAATGAATCATGGATCCAGAGCATTGAAGAGTTTATTCATATCTTTGAAGGTAAAGGCATAATATTTTGTGACTATAGCATTACTTTTTCATGAGTGGTATAGGGTACCAGTTGCATTGAAAAAGAGAATGACTAGTGCTTGAAGAAAAAACAACAACAGCCCATAGCACTTCTACACCCATTCTTTCTTTCCTTAATGAGAGGAGGAGCAGCTAGATTGGAAAATGCCCTTTCTGAAGGGCTAGAACCTCAAATCTCTAAAATTGAACTTGAAGAAAAGAAACTTCTCCTTTGTGCAGAATCATCTTCCTTATTGGAACCCAGCATGGGTTACTAAGCCGAATAAGGTAAAAGGAGAAGGCCACCATTTCTTTAGTAGGGTAGAAAAATTGCTGTCATCCAATGACTTCTCAGGAGGAGATGTTATATTCTCCATTGGCCCTCCTTCCCAGAGGCTTCAGTTGATGATCAGGTAGACTATGTTACACAATCATTATTTCTAAGTATGCATGTGTTTGTGTATAAAATGTGAATGTCATACAAATAAATAAATTCATAATCCTACGCTCTGGTTAGAGATAGACAGCCCCCCAAATATAAGATAAATTTCTCTCCTAAACTTTTCCCATCCAGATTTCCTACTGTAAGAGTATTTTCCAGCTGGAAGATAGAGGATAAATTCTTTTTTTTCGATATTCATGGTAGCAGGGAAGGATTAAAATGTATATACAGTATTTTAAGATGAATGGCAATTATATTAAAAAGGTTGTGGGATGAAAGCAGGAAGATAGAGTATAATATGAGATAATTACTTACTGGTACCAGAAATTTTTGCTGTTTAGGTGCAGCGATTAGGCTGGTTTCTTTTTGTCCTTGCAAGATGACTAGCAAAAATCTCTCAATGTTCAACAGAACTATTTTCATCAGATTTCCTTGGTCTTTGAGGTAATAGATCCTTTTTATTTTCTCTGTTAGCAGTATGTGGATGCAGTTTTGGGAGCAAACTATAATTGCCTTTTAAACATTATGGCCGTAGTATTGATCTGAAAATGAACTGTAACCTCTAGCTGATCAGGAGTCTTTTTTCCCTTAGCATATTTCATTCCTTGCATTGCATCCCCTAAAGTGTTTGTTTGGCCTTTCTAGCATGAGTAAGATATTTAGAAATGATTGCATCAGCAGAAGAGCAAATAAAAGTAACAGAAATGATAAGTGAGTAAGAATAATTCCCTGTTTTTAGCTTCACATGAAAACAGGTAAGAGAAGGTATGATTTTGAATGGCTTTGATTACAGGTAGTCCTTGAACACTGTTCATTCATAGTTACAATGGGCTTGGAAAAAGTGACTTGCAACTGTACTCACGCTTATGACTGTCACATCACCCTGTACTTACATAACCATTATTTGGGTGCTTGGTACCTGGCTCGCATTGATGACTGGGTGCAAAATCCTGTGGTCATGGGATTGGAATTTGCAATTGCAATTTTTTTTTTGCCAATTTCTGCATCAACTCCTGGGGAATAAAGTGGGTGAAGAACGTCTTGTTCGATGCTTGCTTCTGGAATGTGTTGATTGACCTCTCTGGGATACAGAATATGGACTGATAACCATGGAACTGACCCAAGACATCTTTTCTTATTGTTCAGGCCTTTCCTTATTTTAGAGATTGATTAGGGAGTTTCAGGTTTAGAAAGTCACATTTATGTTGTAGTGTAGACCAGGAGTCACCAAACTTGGCAACATTAAGACTTGAGGACTTCAACTCCCAGAATTCTGCAGCCACCCATGTTGTTAAAATTAAAGTTGGCAAGTTTGGAGGCTCCTGGTTTAGACAAACAAGAAGACATATAAAAACATTTACAACAGCATTTACATTTAATATATTTGTTAGATTAATATTCTGTCATTCTTTAAGGAGTAGTTAGTGTTCTCTCCTTTTGACTTATTCCCCACACTGCAATCACATGAGATAGATTGGACTGAGAGATGACAGTTGGTCCACAGACACCAGTGAGTTTCTGCAGCTGAGTGTGGACTTGGATTTGAATGTGCCCAGATTTACTCCAATAGCTGACAAATTATATCCGACTAGCTAGAATTGTTCAGAATGTTAGATATTTAGATCTACTCTAAACATTAGCATCCATGAATAAAGCCCATATCTATAACTAGATAATGAAAAACAAAATATCATAACATTTCAAAATTACAAAAAGATGCAGGCATTAAGAAATTAATGAGTTTAATTATGTCCCAATGTAGAAAGAAGAAACAAAGAGAAAAGAGATTAAAGAATTTTTATAGGCTTTTGGTAATTTTGTATTTTACCATGACTTCTACTGATTATGGTGAGGAGTATTTTGAGGGAATCATCTCTGAATTAAGATTATGTTGTTTGTTTTATAGGAATTTGGATTGCTACTACTGTTATTGCTTTTGCCACATGCATCGGATATGCATTTAACATCTTAGTCTGCTACAGGTACAGATATAGATTATGTAACTCTTATGTAGATGTATAATTGATGTTGTGATTAGGTGACTGAAAATATCTATGGTCTTATTGGTCTGGACACTGTTGCCAGGTTTTGTGGAAAGCCATAAATAGTACCATTTTTCACACTGTTTTCCCTCTATTTACAAGAAGCTAATATATCAGCATAGCTAATAATGGTTATTGATGGGTGTGGAGAAGAGCATTATGAAAACAGGAGAATTGTTCTATTTTCATTCAACAACCGACTTTCACCTCCATGTCCTATACAAAGTGTTTCATAATTGAAGCTTATTTGCTCAATTATACATTTTCTCTTAATCAAGAAATTTAGGATACATTTTATTTCTCATATTAATACATTTCTCAATGATCAGCTAAGAGTTAAAAAAAGAAACATGCATCTTCTGCTTGGCACAAAATCTATATAGGGTTCCCAAATGTTGCTCATTGTTCCCTTTTGATTAGAATTCTGCCAATACTACCAAATAATGGACTATTTTACATTCAGAACTTCTAGTTACCCTTATGGACTTCATTAAGTCCATCAATCTTTCAACACAAACCATTCATATTTTTAATGAATTGCTTTTTTATAGATATAAATATATTTTATGGAAGTGTTTGTATTTGTGCATGTATATGTACATCCATACATATGCATTTATATTTATATTTATGTTTCTTTCCTTCCTAGAAAACAAATTAAACTGTTGAGGGCAGGCAAAAAGCACCTACTTGTGTCAGAATCTATGAAAGTGTCATCTTCTCAATGTGTGGTGAGTTTTCAGCATTCAAAAAAGAACTTCTGATTGGGATTGTGGGATATAAGGCAGAATAAAGCATAAATAATTATAATGATCTATTTAGGTTAAGCAATGGAAAATATGCATGATAGAAAATGAAAGTAGTTTTTGACATTAGCCAAAAACGTGGTAGGGTCTGCAAAACACAACATGCCCAAATCATATTAATCTTTACACGTTTAATGAGCAGGGTGCAGTGAGTTCAAAGACTAGCTCATTAAGTGCAAAGTATAGCTCATAACCAGTGCAACAATTTTGACATGGAGGTGATGTGGTATTGCTGGAAAGCACTATTTATCACCTGCTGTGCCAGAGTTTTGATCAGCTGCAATTTCTAGACCAAGTAATGATATAATTCTGAAATAACCAGTCACTCATGCCAGATAGTTTTTCTCCAAAAGAGGGCACATCAGGCATGACTTTGATTTTTCTTCAGATTGTATTAGTACTGCATGCAAGCTCAGCTCCAGATATGGGAGGAACTCTAAGCTATAAATTTAATCTTTAAGGGGAAACATGACTTTCTGGCTTATTTCTGAAATCCTGAGGTCTAGTCCCCAAATTTAGCTTCAGTTTCTTTTCTCATCTGTATTCTTTTTTATTCCTGTGAAATTAGGAGCTGCCAAGATACCTAATCTTGAAGTCTGACAGAAGCAAAAGTACAGTCACGTATCATCAGCATATTACTATAAAATAACTCTAAATCCATTCATGACCTTTTTATGAGAGTCTTTTTTATCAGACGTTAAATAATATAGGACATAAAATAAATATTTTGCATATGAAGGCCAACACCAACTAAAGGACTGGCAACTGTAAATTTCACAGTGTTGCAAACAGATAATATGGGTAATCCTCGAGGTACAACCATAATAGAGCCTGCCCATTTTGGGTTGCATGTTGCATTAGTCGTTAAGTGAAATATGTCAAATGATTCCCCCATCCCTGCTCTCCCCAGTGAAATGTTCAAAGAATGTGCAGGTTGTTAAATAGAGTGTGGGATGCCTTCTGGGTTGGGGAGGCTGTTGAAAGCCTATTACAGGCCCAGGCCCAGGCCCAAGCCCTCCCCTACCCCCAAGGTTCCCCATGCTCCACGTCCTGAACCTTGGGTCTCAACATGCCTTTTCTCCCTCCCTCCCAGTCTTCCCAGGCCTTAGGCCTGATTCCCACCCCCTCAGGCCAAACCCCCTTTTCCCCTCTTACATTTTGAACAGCTTCAAGGCCTTTGAGAGCACTGAGACGAGTTTCTTCTTTGTTTGGGTGCGTGGCACAGTTCCGAAAGCGGCCGCTGTTTTGTCCTGCCCACAAAATAGTGACCACAATTGGGTCATTGCCACATAGCCCACGGACATGCTGCTTTGCTTTGCCTTAATGATAATTTACTGCCATATTCAGAAGCTTCTGCAGCACTATACACCTCTCTCTAAGGCAGAAAAATGAAGCACTTTGTTGGCAACCGCCATTTTGCTTCCACTGGTTTGTGGGCAGGGACAAAATGGTGGTTGCATATCTTGGATCTGGGGACACATGGCCTGCCCTCCTTCCATAACAGGAGGTCCAGAGAGCTTCAGAAGGTATGTGTGGGACATGAGGCGGGTGTAAGGAGGAAGCCCAAGGACTGCAGGGTTCTGGTGGGGTAGGATTTGGGAAGAGAGGTGGGAGAGCTCTGCAGCTACCCGGTGGTGGGTCGTAAGGGTGAATGACCGCAGGCCTGCTGCACTGGTTGTAATTTTGAAATGGGATCATATGTAGCTTTTGGGTGGGGGGGGGAACATTCATTAAGTGGCCTGTAGTACCTCAAGGATTACCTGTAATTTAAAAAAAAAATTATTCCCATTACTACTATTATTACTGATTATCGCACAGTCAGCCAAATGTTCAGACTGGGTCTGGCATTTTTGTGTACATCTCGAGTCCTTACCAAGGACCTGGGATAGGCAAATCCAGTGGTGAAATCCTACTAGTTCTGTCCGGTTTGTGTGAGCCGGTTGTGGCGGCGGCATGTGGTTCGGCGAACCAGTAGTGGTGGCAGCGCGAGACTCCGCCATCTGCCCTGATGTCCTTTTTGAAACTCTGCGCATGCGCAGAGGGTCAAAAATTGGGCGTGATGATGGCGCGCCCCCTCGAGCACTTCTGAACTAGTAGGGAAGGTAAATAGATTTCACCCCTGGGCAAACCTGAATGTTTGACAGTGTTACAGATATTGTCACAGGATGGAAGCAGTTCGAAGTAAAGCCACCTTCTGCAATTGACTGATGGCAAATTTGTCAATGCCTATGGTGTTCAAATGGCACTCTAGTTGTTTTGGGATCCAAGGCTCCTATTTACTATTGGAACTAACCTTGCTTGCCTTTGCCATAGTTGTTCGATTTCTATTTGTAGGTCTTTGTATTTTGTTATCTTCTCTAGTTCTTTCTCTTCTCTTCTGCTGATTCCAGGCACTGCCACATCCACTATCCAGATTTTTTTGTCTTTCTTATCGACAGTTGCTAAGTCCATGGTGTTATGTGGCAGATCCTGTCTGTCTGATTTCTGAAGTCTCAGAACAATTTAACATCTTCATTTTCTATGACTTTTTCTATTTTATGGTCCCACCAATTCCTGCTTACAGGCAAATTATATTTCTTACAAATCTTCCAATGCGCCATTGTTGCTACTTTGTCATGCTGCTGCTTGTAGTCAGTCTGTGTGATCTTCTTGCAGCAACTTACCAGGTGGTCCACTGTTTCTTCAGCTTTTTTGCATAGGCGGCACTTACTGTCTGTTGCTGTCTTCTCAATTCTGGTTTTGTATGCATTTGTCCTTAAGGCTTGGTCTTGTGCCACCAGAATTGATCTCACAGTTTCTTTCTTTAACTTTCCTGCCATTGCCATTATTATTATTATCTTCTTTATTCATTAAACATGAAACTCAGTCAACTGAACATTTAAAAACGTATCACAAATATCATTGACCGGTGCTAATGGTTGATACGGGTTGCTGCCAGAATCCTAGTATCAATCAAATATCTTCTTAAAATGTACGATGTTCTGATATATTATTATTATTATTATTATTATTATTATTATTATTATTATTATTAATCTACAGTTCAATTCACACTGTATGACTGGTGGAAACTTAATAATTGAAGTCCATCCAAGGACTTAAGAATTATTAAGGTAGCATCTAACATACAGTTTCAAACAGGATGGTATATTATTTTTATAATATTATAAGAGGAATACCATGCATTGGCTGAATATGTGAAACATACCCAGAACAAGCATTGATGCAAGTTAAAAAATGGAATTTACTGAATGAACAACAAAAACAAAAAAAGAGGTTAAGAGAAGGTAGCCTAGACCATTTGCCCTGCACACGCAGAGGGTCTATGATGACTCAATGCTGCTATCTCAGGGCAACAGCAGGGGGCGGCCTTCTTGCCACTGCCAACTTGGTGCCGCCATTTTTTTTTCAGGACATATCAACACTGGAAAGTCACTGTGTGGATAACTTGCTGCGGACCACTGGATGGAGAGCTGGATGAGTAAGTAGGTTGTCAGAGAGGGTGGGGGCAGTAGGTTGGCTCCACCCCGAATGCTGAACAGGCAATTCAGCTGCAGCAGGTGATGGGGCAGAGGGCAGGGAGGTATGCAGGAGCTTCCTATTTTGACTCCCCCGCTATTGCCTCCAAGCCTTAGGCTGCACCACTCTACTAGGTTTTTTTTAAAAGCCCCATGGCTCTGCCAGTTTTTTTTCTAAAGTACTGCAAGTTTTTTTTTCCTAAAATGCCAAGGCTCTGCAAGGTTTTTTTAAAGCCACAGGGCTTTGCAAGGTTTTCTGAGCCAACCTACCACCGCTGCCCTCTGACAGCCTGCTCGCTTGTCCGGCTCTCCATCCAGTGCCTGCAGCAAGTTATCCCCGCAGCGACTTTCTGATGTTGAAATGTTCTGCGAAGAAATGGCAGCACTGAGTTGGCAGAGAGTTGGTGGTGGCGAGAAGGCCGCCCCCTGCTGGCTGCTCCGACATAGCACCGTCGAGTCGTCATAGACCAGGGGTGTCAAACTCAATTTCATTGGGGGCCGCATCAGGGGTGGTTTTGGCCCGGGGGGGGGGGGGTTGTGCATGTCCGGGGTGCATGTGGCTGGGGTGCGTGTGGCATGGTGGGTGTGGACCACAGGTGAAATCCAGCCGGTTCTCACTGGTTCACCCGAACCATTAGTAAATTACTTAGGCAGTTCGGAGAACCGGTTAAAAATAAAGTGCAAGAGAGGGGTTCTCTATCCCTCCCTCCCCCCCCCCCCCCCCCCCTCTCTCTCTCTCCCCCCCTCTCTCTCTCTCTCTCTCTCTCTCTCTCTCTCTCTCTCTCTTCAGTTAATAGCTCCACTTAACAGTTGCAGCTGGAATGCAGCCAATACATGCTGAATCAAGTCAATAAACAACAGAAACTGACACGATTAGGGCAGGGAAACCCATCAATCACCCATCTAGGGATGGGATTAACCTCTTCCCTTCAGGAAGAAGGACAAGATTATAAACATTTTCATTACAAAGAGTATTAAGTGACATTTCTGTGATCAGCTGATACTCCCTGGAGTTTCCCAAGACTTTTTATAGCTGCTGCAGTGTTGGCTACTTCTTGTTTCTTCCTGGGGGAAAAATACAGGAGGGGACAATGATGCAGCTTGATGACACAGGTCGTGAATTTAATGCATGTGTAGTCCAGCCAGTTGTATTGCTTCTGCTGTGAAGCACCCAATTTAGAACATAGAATAATAGAGTTGGGAGTGTTAATGGCTTTTGGCAGCACACCCCGGCTTTTAATTATCCTGAGCAGCTGCTCTCAGCTGCTGCGTTTGCTTTGGGGTTGACTTTTTTTTAAAAAGGGGAATGACTATTTTAAGTTTTCTGCATTGTTTTAGTGGTTCCTGGCACTGTCTTTTTGGGGTGTACTTCCCTCACCCTTTTTGAAAGCCTCTAGTGATGGCAAACTATTCCATTGGTTGACTGGTCTCACCCTTAGGAAATGTCTCCTTAGTCCTAGGTTGCTTCTCTCTTTGGTTAATTTCCATCCATTATTTCTTGTGCCTTTTGGTGCTTTGGAAATTAGATTGACTTCCTCATTTTTGTAGGAGCCCCTCAAATTTTCTGACAGATCAATTAATCTTGAAAAAAAGATTAATTAGTCTTGAAAAAAGATCTTAGGAAAGTTTTGATTGAGTAAAGTTAGTTTGACAAAAATCATGTTATAAGAGATTAACACATACTGATATGCAACTCAAAGATACTACAAGATGTACATATACTATAATCAGACAGAACTGAAGGCCCCTCCTAAATGGAATGATGGAGAGAAAATAATAATAATCTGGCTCCATTATTGTTTCTTCAGAAAATGTAAGTTACTTGTCCATTTTTAAGGGATATGGGAAAACAACATCTTTCTTTTGATAAGCTCTTGGAAGTGGGAATATTTCAGAGATAGGCTGTTTTCCAGTTTTCTGCTAGATTGTACCAGTTCTCTCAGTGTAAAATTGTCCAAAGTTTGTTTGGAGATTAAGTCACTGGATAAGCTATTCATCAATTAAACATTTTAAATTTGTTTGCCCTCCTTTGACACCAAGTCCCTTTCTCCTAATCAATTTAATAACCCATAAAAAGACTGCTGCCACTCTGTGTTTAATTGGTTTTCAAAACAAAACATTCTTGAGCCAAGATATCAGGATAATGTCAAGAACAAATACACGACAGGGCTATAGAAGAAGAGGAAACTAGATTTCCTGCAGAGTGTCATTCCATATTTCTCTTTGGAATTTCTTCTAATTTGAAATTTTATTTGGGTAAAAATAAAAGGGTAGAAATAAATTGGATCTGAGGGTTCAGCACCTTATTTTCCTGCCCTCAGTCTGATCTAAGGCATTATGCTGACAGAATTGCTTTCTGTACCTTTATATATATAGTTCTATAGTTATACAAATATATCATTTAGATTTCCTCAAAATATTGTATATTTTGTATGTATGTTTGTGAATTCCTAACTGAGCTCTCCTATTCTTTTTACACCAACAGGTAGCACTATCAAAGTTCATCTCTTTCCAAGTTGCATACATAATGTGGGGTATGTGAACAGCTGTTTTAAAAGGGTTAGAGTTAGAATAAGTTATTGGGGACTTCTAATTCTCCCCTTTTGTTGACCAGTTATGATTTTTTTTTTCTAGGATACCTAATCATGCATTTGGTGCAGTGGTCATTTGGAATGATATTTACATATATTTTGATTTTACCCATGATACGTGGCGAGTGGATGGAGCTTTTAAACAAATGGGGAACTGTGATGTAAGTGCCTGCAATCACAATAACAGTTTGGTCTCCCTGCCTTTCAGAATTTACCAGGCTGAAAATGTAAACATTATCCACAATCAGCCCATGTTGAACATTATCAAAGCCTAGAAGACAATCTGGCTGGGTGGGATTGGGGAATTTTGAGAAGTTACTCCATCATCCCCCTCATTGGCTGGATTACAAAGAAGAAATTTGTACATCCTCAAAAAATATTTACAGAGCAGGTGATTTTCCTTGTTCTGCTGCTCTGATCGCAGAAACATTGTAAGTCAGAAATGAGATGTTATATCATTTGAAATACCATTTGTCTGTCTGATAGGAAGAAATGCATAGTATGAACGACCTCAAAATCTATGCCTTCATATGCAGTTTTGTACTATGTTCATAGGATTCTACCTTTAATCTTTTTTTATACTTTTGAAATTGGAAATTGGATAGAATTGATTACCAAGAAATCTCCCCTCTGGTCTTCAGCCAACTTAATAATTTTGGACTGAGGATGGCCTCATATTTCTATACTCTAACCATCCCTAAGTATAGAAGAGTCTTCTCCCTTGCTCGTTTTAACGTCTTGCCTTCAGCATTGCTGGACGGTCGATTCAAGAGGCTTCCGAGGGGCGAGCGGCTATGTCCCTGTGGTAGAGCGGAGGTTGAGACTGTGGAGCATGTCCTTTTACACTGCCCCATGTACAACGTAGCCAGGACTAATTTGATGTCTCTCTTAGAGACAGATTTCTGTGGGCCCAATGATAGTGATTTGGCCTTGTATTGTCTAGGGGATGGCTCCTCATACACTACCTCTCAGGTCTCAAATTTTTTTCTAAGAGCCGTAACCATTAGAGGAGAGCGCTGTGGTCCCTCTCAGCCGGGGCTTCCGGTGGCCGGCTGTTCGTGATGTTCTTTTCCCTATGTTTTTCTGTAGCTATGCTTGCATTTTGGTCTGTGACCGTAAATAAATTTATTATTTATAACAGGGATTACCAAGAAATTCATAATGATGAACATAAAATTTTGGATCCCAGAGTAAGAGGATGATAGCAAAATACAATCCTTTCAATATTATTTATATATATTTTTATTGGTTTAGCTTGGTTATAAAATGCAATGTTGTTTTCTTTGTTTTGTATCTCTCAGCCTGACATTTGTCATTGTCCTAGTGATCAAGAAGATACAGGTCCTTTTAGGTGCCAGGTTTTTTCTCCAGCCAAAAATGTCACCGAGTGACAGTCAAAAACCTTTGGCACTTGATAACAGGTCAGTGCTAGAGAGCGATATGCCTACTGCTATTCTGTAAATTTAATTTTCTCCGTTGCACAGTACCTTGATTTGATAGGCTTCCAGATAAACATCTTTTAGCAGTGTCTTTTGGAAAGTATATAGTTCTGCTATATAGTTCTACAGAAATACTGCTATATAGCTCTGCAGGTGTTCTTTCCTTATTTTTAAAATGACTGTTCAGAAAAAGATATGAAATAAAGAAGGGATATGAAAAGGATTCATATTTGCACAAATAAAAACTTTATTTGGAAGTAATTACTCAGGGAAGCTAATCTAAATCAGTCTCTAATTTTGCCATTTGTTAGTCACTATGAGATCACCTTGGTGGGAAGAAGTTAAAAGATCAATGGGAATAAGTTAAGTACAAAAATACAGTTTCAGAACAACTATGTGGCATTTATATTATGCTATTTTAATCTATAGATAAAACATTCAAATGCTTTTTCATGTTGAATATTGCATGAAGAAAACTAGGGAAGATTTAACAATATAATTTTCCTTATTTCCTTTCTTTTTATCCTAGTCTTATCTGATGATTGGTTTATCTTATTCTACTGAAAAATCTTTTAATATTGTGCCAATGTTGCAATTTATAGAATAATTGCAATTCAATGAAATTTGTTTACGCATCTGCATTAGCTACAAGAGTCTGTAACTCATTCATAGGGTTTGTAAATAAATCTTATTCATCTTCTCATAGGCTCAGAAAAGTATTGTAACTTTCTGCAACTTATTGTACTTCCTCAACTGAGCGCTAGGAAGAATGACTAAATTTTCCTTTTTGGTAAAACCCCATTGGGGATGTATCTGTCTCGAAATCCTAACACAGCACATGATTGAATTCAAAAGCAAATTTATCTGTTTCTGACTCCATAGCTGGAGAGTAAGCATGAGACTTCTCAGTGATAGCCTTTTGTTTTGCAGGAGAGTCTTCATAAACTTCAGTTATTTTTTATTCTTCCATTCGGTGGTTGTGGGCTTAACTTCCTGTCTGATGAGACTGTTCCGCAGCATCATTCTTGGGGCCTGGCTGGTTGGACGGATAGATAGGGCAGTAATGCCAAAAGGTTTTGAACAATGTGATGCAGGTGAGCATTTGAAGGACCTTATAGAGAAGACCTCTTCTACTTTTACATAACAAACTGGATTTTCCACTCATTAGCATCTTTGTTTCAAGCCTTGGATGGAATGGGTGGGATGGGAGAACAAGAAGTTGCATTTAACGTGCAAAAAAGAAATACCCATGATTTTTCTGCAGGATACACAGTTTGGATTGGAATGCTTTTTCTGGACCACTATCACACAAATCCCATCCTTGTGTGCTTCTGCCAAATCCTTTGCGACAAACTCAAAGAGAAAACCCTGTTTGCCGATTCATACTCCGCTGTGTGTAAGCCATTGGATCCAGGTAAGCTTGAATCACAGGTCACATAGCTTGTTGGGATGTTAAGCAATATATAAGATATAGGGCAAGTTAAAATAGAATCTTCACTTCTGGGGAAGAAGTTCTGCAAACCTCATCAACAGTTTGACCTTTTGCACAGGCTTCTATTACGAAGATAAACCTATGTCCATATACTTTATTAGAAGTTTCCGTTTCAGGTATCTATGCTATCATGCACACTGGATTTCAAGAATAGCTTTCTGAAGGTTATCTGTTCAGACATTTGTGACAACATCACCCCTCAAATTTTGCTCATCTGAGGGTGTAGCATTTCTTTGCAGGGTGCAGTTGTTAAGATAGTGAGATATAACACTTGTGCAAGACTCTAGAGATGTTGTATTGATCTATTTCCTTTCTCCTCAAAGCTTTATACTTTGTATTAAAAAAACTTGAACTGCAATCCCCCCCCCTAAAAAAAAGAAATTCTGCTGTACCTGGTGGCTCAGCAGACTAAAAGCATTGTGATTAACGCCAGCTGTCTGCAATTACTGTAAGTTCGAATCTCACCAGGCTCAAGGTTGACTCCTTTCTAAGGTAGGTAAAATGAGGACCCAGTTTGTGGGGGCAATAAGCTGACTTTGTATAAATATACAAAAGTATGAAGGCTATTGCTTAACGCATTGTAAGCCGCCCTGAGTCTCCGGAGAAGGGCGGCATATAAATCAAATTAAAAAAAAAAAATCCAAAATGCATTAAGATCAATTCTTTGGCAGCAAGGGATGAACTGAAATACAATGCATATGATATAGTCTCAGAACCTCACATATAGTATTCCCTTGAGTATGTTGGTCAGTAATAAACAAGAAATGATCTGGGGAATGTTTATTTTATTTATGACATCCCACCCTTTTATTTATACAAATAATTCAAGATGGCAAACACATCCAATCCACATTCCTCCTCCGATTTTCCCCACAACAACAACAACCCTGTGAGGTGGGTTGGGCTGAGAGAGAATGACTGGTCTGCTAAACATGGCAAAAATTAATACTTGTTTCTTATTTTAGTTCCCAGAGTGTCTAGCAAAGCCAGGACAAGATGGTTCCTGCTCTATACACTTCTGAATAATCCCAGTGTCCAAAAAATCCGGAAGCTAAAACCTCTCTCTTATTCAGCGGACTGATCAAATCTTTTTTTTTTTTGACAATGTGTGCTAAATATGCTAAGAGCATATAGTTGCCTCTTTGGTTTGCAACAATTTAGTATTTGACCCAAGTTGTGATCAGGAGGGGCTTGCTGACATATTCATTTGTTTCCTAAATGAACACTTGTACCATTGCTAGTATTTATTATGTTACTGTACTGTATTCAATCCCAGCACCACTAGATGATAACTGCCATGTGATTATTATATGTGCAAAAATGAAAAGATTTAGCACAACCCACAATGGAGGAATGGTTGGCGAAGATGACAGACTTTGCAATGATGGTGAAATTAGCTTCCTTAATTAGAGAAAAAACAATATCAACCCTTATTATTGACTGGAAACTCCTTATAGTTTTTTTGTTGTTGTTGCTTGAAACAGAAAAAAACAAACAAAACAGAAACAGATTAAAAAAATAGATAGTGGTAAAAAGAGAATTTTTTTTCCTTGTAACCATAGACTTTTGTAATTTTGTATTGGTGCTTGTAGTTACTATAAAGAAAATTGGAAGCCACTTCTATTTCTTTTCATTTTTTGCACCTTTGTCTTCTACCTTCCTTCCTTCCTTCCTTCCTTCCTTCCTTCCTTCCTTCCTTCCTTCCTTCCTTCCTTCCTTCCTTCCTTCCCCTCTCTCTTTTATAATTTATATTAATTCTTGTTAATTTTTTATCTTTGTCTTTAAATACATAATAAAAATTATTTGCTTTAATAACTTGTGTGTATCCCCAAGTTGGAAATCAGATGGGGATTTTGTTCAGCAGACTTTCCAGAGAATAGCAGTAGGAATTCTGGTTCTCCAAACCTGCTTTTAATGAATGTCACTGGGGGCTGCTTTCTGTTTGGTGTAGAATAAACATTTTGAACATCAGTTGACAGAATGTTTTGGGGTGACAGGAAACCAAATGTGTGTCACCATCTGTGTCCCTTCTCCAATTTTGCACCATTAAATCCAAATTTCTAAGATCAACTGTTCAAGTCCCCAACTATGTCTCTAATACCAGTGTGAAACTGGAGGCAGGCCTCATGAAAGTGCAATATAGATGACAGTACTCAACGATTGAATCAGAATATACCTTTTTCTCCTTGGCCTTCTCGGTTAATTATGAGGAATTATTTTCAGTCCACCAGTGCACTCTGCCTCCCTCATGGCACACTTAACTAACCACAAGTATCTAAACACCAAAGGGCCTTTTATTTTGGCAGTATGGCATACCTTCCCCTCAGGTGTCCTTGAAGGCCAATACAGGAAGATCCCCTACCTAGAGCGACAGGCCCCTGTGATTCTGACCCTGTAGAAGCAAGAGAACATCTCCAATTGCCAGTACTATAGAGATATTCATACTAGGCTCATCTCGCCATTATTACATAAATACCCAAATTACATCTCCCTGCTACTTTCAGACACTAACCCTTCTAACAATGAAACATTGCCGGGCTTTGCCCAGCAGTGCCTAAAAATCTGTCAGCTGACCTGTGCCATACACTAGTCTTAATGAGCATTTAGTTATTCAAAAGGTGCTTTGTACTATGATAGATTCAGTTTGGCGTATACTAAATTGTATACTCCCTCATATTGATCTAATATTTCTACCTCTCCCTTTAGTTTTTTAAAAAAATCTTTATATATTTTAGCACTGTTTTTCTTTTCAATTAGATTTGGTTGTATCCTTTATACTTTTTAATCTTGTGTACCCCATCCTCCTTTAGTATAAGGTCCATAAGGTCTATGACTGTATTAAAGATTTGAACTTCGAAGGTGTATGTGTGTATGCCATAATATGATTCTTATATACAGTAACTCTTTGATGAAGCCATGCAGCAGGATCAGGGAAATTCAATATGCCATTCAGATGCTGTTGAATATCAACCCCAATCCTCTCAATAGACATGTCTAGTAGTCATGGATAATGGAAGATGTCCTTCAGGAACTTCCTGAATAGAGCTTATTTTCCGTGGCGACACAGTGGTTAGAATGAAATACTACAGGCCACTTCTACTGACTGTCTAGTGCCTACAGTTTGATTCTCACCGGCTTAAGGTTGACTCAGCCTTCCATCCTTCCGAAGTGGGTAAAATGAGGACCCAGATTGTTGGGGGCAATATGCTGACTTTGTAAACAGCTTAGAGAGGACTATAAAGCACTGTGAAGCGGTATATAAGTCTAAAGGCTATTGCTATTGCTAAAGGTCATGGATGACAAAGCCCAACTTACTGTACTCAAGTTGATGTTATCTTTGGATGGTATAAGAATAAGAAAGAAAATGCTGTTTAATACCAATATACAAAAAAATTGACTTATTCCTGTCTCATTCATGTGCTGGGGATGAAATAAAAATAAAATAGAGAAAGAAAGAAAAGAAAAGAAAAGAAAGAAAGAAAGAGGAAGGAAGGAAGGAAGGAAATAGGAGAAAAAAGAAAGAAAGACATAGCTGTGCCAAAGTTAGGTGCAAGTGAAGAAAACCTTAAAACAGTTCTGTTGGCATCTTGTCCTCAGAGATCTTTGCTTGTCACAACTAGAAAGAAAAATGTTAAAAGAGGTTTATTTTTAATAAAGCATGTTCTAAAATCTGCTCTGCATAGGGAAACTTTCCACCAAACAGTACCTCAGAAGCATGAGAACTGTACAGGTAGTCGTTGACTTACAACAGTTCATTTAGTGACCATTCAAAGTTACAACAGCACTGAAAAAAATGACTTATGACCATTTTTCACACTTACGACTGCTGCAGCATCCCCATTGTCATGTGATCAAAATTCAGATGCTTGGCCACTGGTTCATATTTATGATGGTTGCAGTATCCCAGGGTCATGTGATCAGTTTTTGTGACCTTCTGGCAAGGAAAGCTAATGGGAAATCCAGATTCATTTAACAACTGAATTAACAAATGCAACAATTTACTTATCAACCGTGGCAATAAAAGTCAGAAAATGGGGCAAACTCACTTAACACATGTTTCACTTAACAACATAAATTTTGGTCTCAATTGTGGTCATAATTCGAGGACTACCTATATTTCTGTTGACCAATGTTTACAATAGGTAAATGGACATTTTGAGTTGATTTTGCAAATTTAAAAGATAGTGTTCTTGAGAGGGATGTGATGAAGAGCAGGAGGACATCTAATTTTGTATTCCAAATCTAATATTTTGCAGTTATTTTGTATTTATATTATATTGATATTCAATAAAAATTATTTTAAAAATCAAGATTTGTTTCTATTTCCTTTTGAAGGCTTGCATTTAAGCAGTCCTCCAACTTTGCTTCCCCTAAATATGGAACAGTTGGTGTAATCTCTTTCCGCCTATATGGTGCCAGCTCTGTCTCTGTAAATGCTAATGACCCACATCTAAGAGAGACTGAGATGTATATTCTTGAAAGGGTCAGCTGTCATTGAGTGCTGAGTGGCATCACAGCAATATTTATCTTTTGGGAGGATGGATATTATGTTTGAAAACCATCTAAGGTGTGTGAAGCCTCTTAGAAGGCTTATGCATCATTGTTCTTTCACTTTTTTTCTACAATTAGATGATTTGCTTCTGAATGTCTATGGTTCAATCAGTGGAGTTTCTGAGACTGGAAAAAAACGGAGTTGGGAATTACACATCACTCAGGATATTTCTTGCCCATGATGCAAAGTACCTGAATTTTATATTAGAAATGTGGAAAACATGAAAGATGTTTTTTATCATGTCTAGTGGACTTGCAAAAAATTTAAAACATGTTGGGTTCAAATACATAGAATGAGACAGAGTTGTAAGAGAAATGAAAAGTAAACACAAATGATATTGTTTTTATTCTCTTGAAAATTTCTTTAATAAAAATTATATACAAAAAACCTGATTGCACTAAGTGTTGTTCTGGAAAATCATTCTTATCAATTCACCTTGTGCTGTTCAAGTCTTACTGTTTTGCATTTGGCATGTTCTCTTTTCAGAAGTTTTCTTCTGAACTTTGTACTTCTGTATTTTTCTGTGTAATGCCACTGAGTGGAAGCCTTTTTTTTTTTACACTTATAGTTGTTAAATGTCTGCAGATAACTGGGAGTCTCTTCCAGTTGGTTAAATTCTACACAATTTCCTCATTGTGCTCTTATGACAGGCAAATATTTAACCAAATGTTTGCTTTATGAGTAGCTAGTTCTGTTGGAATTAGAAACAGCCTTGGAGTTACCTCTGCGATCTCAGATCAACAGAAGGATTAAGAAAAGAACATGACACAAATAAGACGTAGATACCATATTGTTTCCTGGGGTTGCCTGTAGATTTGCAGACATAACACCTACAGCTCTTCTCAGCATGGCCATTATACCCACTCTGGAAACATGGTAAGTTTTGAGTACGAGAGATACAACCATGAAATTTGCTGAACTCACAATGTTATGTGTCGGGGGGTGGGGGGTGGGGGGTTGAGGAGGTGGTGGAGAGGAGGGCATTTTTCTGGGATTATCATATGAGAAAATTAAAGGGGATGCTTAATTCTTAACCCGTTATTTTTCCCTGTGTGTGACTTTCCTCCCCTTGAAATAAACCCAGTGGAGCATTGGCAGCTGCATCTGGCCAATTGCAGAGAAACTATTTGACTTGAACCCCAGGCTTGAAGCAGGCTCGATAACTAAGGGGAGTTTTAAGCACCAATTGCTCTCCCCTTCTTCTTCTGTAGAAATCTTTCTCCATCACTTCCATGACTTAGAAGGCACTAGTTTGCTGGTGACATCTAGTGTAGGGTGCTTGCTAGAGATGTAAGAGACTGTCTATATTCTAAATTGCTTGACATATTATTTGAAGGTATTGTAGCTTTTGCACAATATTCCCATAATAATACTTTATTTTCAATAAAAAGCACATTTGTTTTCAATTTCAAAAAGTTTAGCACATTTGAACAATACAGTAATTGAAAAGACCTTCCTAATCTTCTTCTGTAATTTATGACTACTGCAAATTCCATCCATCTTTGCCCTACACACCATCCCTGCTTGATCCCTTCCTCACCAAACATACTTTGCTCATGTTTGATTGTAATTTAACTCTCTTGTTCAATTTTGACACGATACCCCAAGTTGAGTGCAAGTGCAATCCTACAGAAGAAATTTGTTCCCATTCTGTCCCATCTGTTGTGCTTTGTTAGTGAAGACATAATGTTAGGAATAATGAATGGGAGGATAAACTAATTTGAGCATCCAGGTTATTCTTCTCAGAATGAGATGGTTGCCTCAGGGCAAAGCTTCAAATGGGGACATGGGAGATAGCGGTGGGTACCTCTCTAGAGACCATCTTGGGGTTTCCTTACTTTCTTGGTGGACAGGGTCTGAGTTGTATCCACTAAGTAGTGTATTGTCCTTAAATGTAATGGTGGATGATGTCTTTATCATTAAGGCTAAAGGAAGATTTAGTTTTAGATATGGTTGACTTCCTTATGGGAAATGGGAGGGACACATCATCTTGCTTGTAGCTTCAGACTGAATGAAAAAGGCATGGCTATTTCCTCTGAGTATGATTACTAAGATTATTTCATGGACATAGTTCATGGAAGCACTGGTGCTGATGAGAGAATGTTGGACCAAGTCTGTGTTCAACCCGCTGAAGGTGAAAAGCTCAGAGGGTGTCCTGGGTGAACTTCTTGAGTTTTAGGGTAACCCATTTGTAGGTAGATACACAGAACTGTTATCCATTGGGGTTCTCTGTTTTTCATGTTCAGAAACTTGGAATACTACATAGATTAGGATACAGGTAGTCCTGACATTCACAGTTGAGCCCAAAATTGCTTAACAATGGTGGTAAATAGTGGTAGGTGGTAAATGAGTTTTGCCCCATTTTACACCTACCTTGCCACAGTTGTTAAGTGAATCATTGCAGTTAAGTTAGTAACATGAGTGTTAAGTGAATCCGATTTCCCCCTTAACTTTGCTTTGTCAGAAGGTTGCAAAAGATGATCACATGACCCCAGGACACTGCAACCATCATACATACATGCAAATTGCCAAGCGGCTGAATTTTGATCACGTGACCATAGGGATGCTGCATGTGAAAAAACAGACATAAGACACTTTTTTCAATGCTGTGATAATTTGGGACAGTCACTAAATGAATGGTTGAAAGCTGAGGACTAACTCTAGATGGTGTATTTTTGTAGATTGCAATCCTACTCTTCAAGTACAGAGTTTTGCAACGAGGGGTTTTCTAGCCCTACCAGGTGATGCCACATATAAAAGCTGAGCTCTTTTGCCTACAAGTTACCCACTATATTATTGTGCTTTGGCAGTTTCCCCTAACTTGATACAGAAGTTGAACCAAGAAAACTTAGACTGCACAGATACTTAAAATTGCATTTCTTTATTTGTCCCACAAAGGCATTCTCCCTTTTTTCCATTAGAAACTATGGTATTATTTAATCTGCAGTATATAGCTTTCAATTAAATATGTTGTTTGCATTTGTGTATTCTATGCAGTCAATCCCCAAATGAAACCTATAATGAAAGCTGTACAAGTCTCATAGACCTGGAGCCTGTTTTGCATTATTCACTTCTTCCATCAGTAAGTAAAATTATAAATAACTTACCATAATTGTGAACAACATTCCTTGACTTCATGGAACCCATGGATTTTCTTTCCTTCTTTTGTAGATTGCCATAATTGTGGTGCTGTCTTGTCTTGAAAAGAGAGCCAGAAGAAATGTAATTGATGAAAAATGCCATCTCCTCAACAGGAGGTGTGGGGTTGTTGTGTAAGTCTGCAGAATTATTTTGCTTCAGTCTTCTTCTTTGCTTCCTCCTTTACTGCTTTCAGGTGTTGAAGGAGATACAAAATTCTGGCTCTTGCTCTTTTGGTAGCCTCAATCGTTGTTAATTTATGTTGTTGTAGTGTTTCTTTGATATTGTGTCTCTCCATCTTCTTCTGGGTCTTCCTTGTGTTATTTGACCTTATCCTCTTTTTATGTATGCTTTGTTGTACAATATAGAATCCCACAACATCCTCTCCGGGTGAGCAAACTTCTTTATCTGCTGTTTTTGTATGCAATTTAAGATTGGTTCTATGCCAATTCTTCCACTTATGGTCTCATTTCTCATTTACTTCAGTACCTGCATAATTATAGCATATTTTGGGCTAGAGCAGGGGTGTCAAACTCTGTTTCATTGAAGGCCACATCACGGTGGTGTTTGACCTCAGGGGTGGGGTGTGGCGTGCATCTCACTTGTGTTGGAGGGTGCCTGTGGTGGCCAGAGCATTCTGCCAGCAAAAACAGGCTCATGAGCTCTGTTTTCACTGGCAGAGGCACCGCCAGCCGGATCTGGGCACCCCTGGGCTAGAGAACAGAAGCTCAGGCAGCAGTGGTGGGTTGCCCTCGGTTCGGACAGTAAAACTGGCGGGAGGCTCCACCCACTGCCCTGGATGTTGTCATCAGTGATCTGCGCATGCTATTGTGAACCAGTAGTAAAGGTAAGTAGAACCCACCCCTATCAGGCAGCCTTTAGGATTATAGACAGTTTCTAATTCTAATTCTGAGTTAGAAGAATATAAGAAGAGCTGCCTTGCTGGACTGGAACATAAAGCTACCTAGAATCACAAGGAATAGAAAATATACAGATATAGGTCAGTCAATCAATCAATCAATCAATCAATCCCTACTGAGATCAACAAGTCTAGTCAAGTAGATGCTACAGATATCTAAAATTGGTAGCCATCTGGAAAAAGAGAGTCCCCTTGCCTGCTACTGCAGTTTTTTTTTTTACTGTGAAATATTTCATTCCATGTAGACATTCTTCCTACGCCTAATTGAAAATTTAAACATGCAATTTTAATCTCTTTTTTTTTCTTCACAGACCCTTAGATTTAATGGGCATATGTAGCAGTCGGTGGACAATGGGTTTTGCCTTTGGAGCTACAGCTAACAAAGTCATGATATTGTTTGCAGATGGTTATTACCCTCTGCGAGTGCTGCCGCAATGGATTAAAGGTGAAAGATCCTATTAAAACATTTTAGCCTAAAGCCTAAATTACTTCCCTTCAGATTCTGATCTGTCCTCATCTCTGTGAGGTAATTTACAAAAAGGCATTGGGAATAAGGTAAGGAAGCAGCCAAAATGTGGAAATTCTTTCTCCAACATAAAAGATACAGCACAGTGGCTAGCTAGGTTAACCTGAGGCTACATTTAAATGTGTCATAAGGTACAGTTAACTTACTTCTAACTTTTCTGTGTCACATTCATTTT